TTCTTATGTGGTCTGATCAGGTCCTATTTGAGATACAGACAACTTGTAGTGTGAGAATAGCTGTTGATTGTAGATTAAGGATTTTATTTTTGCCATAGAGCCACTGTAAAAGTGTTTGGATCTACTTACTGCAGAAGCTGATCAACTTCAGCCCTCAGTTTGGCTGCCTCCTCGGGGGAAAGCTTCTCCAGCTCTCGGAATATGGGTGGTGGGAAATCCATTTCTCCCTCCTCGGAGCTCTCTCCATCCCCCCTGTCTCCCCGCTCGACCCCAGCGCTTGCTCTGTCTCGCTCAAGCTCTCCCAAGGCCTGGACCAGGACGTCCCGGGACAGTCCAGATCCCAGCAGGGCCAAGATCAGCTGCTCCTGAAGGGCTGTCAGTCGACCCTGCCTCGTTTTTACCCTCTCCTCTATCCTCTCCTCCATGACTCTGATGGCTTACCTGACTGCTGCCTCAAACAAACGCTGCTCTCGTGTGCACTTCAACACTCAAACGACACCCAGACAGGCAGAGTTGGGCCTCATTCCTTCTGTAGTCCCTCTTCAGTTCAAGAGAATTTATACTTTCATTTTTCCTGTGTTGAATTTACTCCCGTTGTGTCCTGAGCCGCCTGGTTGTCGCTCTCCACCTGCTGTTTTGCTTTCAAAGGTCAATTTTTCTTTTTTTCCCCCCTCCTGTTCACCCCCTCCTCCTTACATGCGCCCTGTGAACTTTGTCCCCACTCCCTCAGTCCCCTACAGCAACTAAAGTGCAACTTAAAAACAATACATTAAGTGACGGGATGTTACAGTTGAATGAAGCGCTGCAGAGTTGAAATATCAGATCTCCAAGCAGACAGAAAGGACAAGCAACGTAAATAGAACAGAAATGTTTTGTGTTGCTTTTATATGAAGATATGATTTTACAGTGACACTGATTTTTGGGCACGAGAATTTTTTTTAACATTTTAGATTGAATCCTAGATTGTTTTTATAACATATATCCACATATTTAATTTGAATTTTAAAGCATCTGGCTATACATGTCATGATAAGGAAAACGATCACCATGAGAGTAACAGAGCCAAAACAGTCTACATGCCGCATTGTGTCCTGGATGCCACCAGGGAGCGCTGCTGTTTCATATATACATGTTGAACATCCCATTTGTAAGATGAGATCATGTACCAAACTAACTTCTCTCTGTGGCTCTGGTGAACACACTGTGTTATATGTTGAGCACAAGTTCAGACACACTAATTGAATGAGAGAGGAGGAAAAATGTCAACATTTTTACAGGTTATTGAAAAATCTTTCTGCGTTTGAAACCCCATTTAAAAAGAGAATGCATTTTTTTTATTGTATGGCTGTTTGGGGAGGGGGGGGGGGGTATTCCGTTTGTATGCATTTAATTGTGCATGCATGCCAGGAATGTGTATTTTTTACATAACTAACATGCAGGGGCTGAAGAAGTAAGTAATGCACCAGTAGCACAATCTGAAAATAGTCAATTTAATTTGATTTCAAATGCTATAAAATCAGAAAGTACAAAAATCAGAGGTATTATCAGCTAGACCACAAGTTAAAGTATTTATTTCACACAAAAACGGCTCCTGTGATTTATAAATAGTGAAGAGTAATGTGTTAATATTTACCTATATGAATCGATTTATTTAAAATATAGATAATATTTTGTCCAAGTTAGGCAATGTTTTTTTTTTTTTTTTTTTTTTGGGCTTTTAAGGCATTTATTCAGATAGGATGGTGGATAGAGCTGGACATCGGCGAGAGAGAGAGAGAGAGCTGGATAGTCGAGTAGTGGAGAAGAGGAATACAGTAGATTTATAAGGAAACACTTTTGCAGTCTACAATGAAACAACACTTTCGTAACTGTAATTCATTAATATAGGCCTTCTTGTATTTTCCACCTAGTAAAATGAATGTTCTCACATACAACATACTCTTTTATTTAATCTGACCTAATGTAATCTAATTTAATTAATTAATTAATTTTTGTATCACTACTGCTTTGTATGGTTATACTTTTCACGTTAAGCACTTTGAATTCTCTGTGTCTGATTAGTGCTACATCGTCATTAGTATTATATGATAATGTAACAAACTTTTGCTCACCTGTTGATATGTTTCACTCAGTCACTGCACGGTTACCAACATCTCCACAAATATGTGTCAATATTTTTTTTAATCTACTTTCATGTTTTTGTCTTAAGGAGGAGATGGTATATCCACAGAATGTAAATATAATGTGTATTTTTGGCATTTAGATGTGGGTCATTGTTTTTAAAGAATAACTAACTTTATTATAATTTCTGTGAGCATGTTTTGAAGAGTCAACTCCATCCAGGATGTTAAATCAGATTTTTAAATGTCCTGATTCAACATACCTCTGTGTTTCATTCACTTTAGTTTTTTTGGCAAAGAAAGTTGGGAGGAAGGAAAAGGTGTAAGCTGAGTGAAAAAGGAAAGAGGACAAACAGAATGGGAGAAAACCTTTGAGAGTTAATGTAGTCCTTTATCTTTTCTCCCCCTTTCAGTGTAAAATGCTCACTTTCTCTGCCTGGATCACCTTATACCATTCTTAGGTTCAGCCTATCAGCACCTTTTTGTGTGGAGCTCTTGTTACCACACCCCACCCTTGGGAAGATGGCTTTATACTGTATTTGGACGGGTAACAGAGCTCCCTCTATCTCCCTGAGACATGCCACTGACCTGTAATTAAGTCCCATTGTACTATTCAGAGGAAACTCCTCACCAAAACGGACAGAGGGCAATGTGTGTGGGTTTCCAGCAGCTCAGATACCGCTGTGACTAATGCTGCAGCACACAGGCTGGGTTTATCGAAATGGACCACATGCATTTTCCCTCTCCGGAGAACTCAAAGCTGTGTTGATTGGTAATGAGATACAATCCACACTGTCCATCTTTCATTAGTGAGCCTTTGCTTTCTGTGTTCTCACCGCTTGCTCTCTTTCTGTCTCTGCCTCAGCCTAGTGTCCCCCATCCCCAAACCACGCCATTCAACCCCATTGATCATGCATGCAGAAATTTAACACACCCCTTAATTCCTGTCCAAATAGCCCCTGTCCCACTTCCAGAGCTTCATCTGCTGGTCTGCACAGGAAAGAAGAGGCCTGTGTGCTCGCAGGACACTCAGTGACCACAAAAGGCCTTAAAAGAGAACGATCACGAATCGTAAATCTGAGCCTCAACATCCTGCATTACACACAACATGCTTTAAGAGTGTGACAGTGTTTGTTTGCTAAAAAAAACAAAAAACTAACTTTACATTAGACATCATGGCCAAAACCTTGCACCAAACTCCAATCCTCTTTGCAGGACAGCATCCACTTTACACCCATTGTAAGTCAAAGCTGTCATTGTCTTTGAGCGGCTCAGGCTATTGATTTGCCTTCCCATTGGTTACCAGGTCACATGTTGAGTCAGTGTTGAGAAGATTAGCCGGAGCTAGCTTAGGTACTAATTAAATGCTTAAACCCCGAGCAATGAATGAGCACACAAACCTTCTGTTTTAACACAAAGCATAAGATGGTTGGAAATATGGAAGGTGTGTTAAAACAGACTTATATTCTGTTTTAGTGATATCCAGAATACAGATACAAATCACATTGTAGTTGATCGATAAGTAGGCCTACAGAAGTGACACAATAGGGATGAAAACACAAAATAGTTATTTATAAACCTCAGAACCAGAGTACTAAAACAATTAGCATGAGTATTAGCTTCATGTTGACTCAGTATTGTTTTGACAGGTGGGATAACTTATTTCTTTGTTTCTTTTGACCACTATGTTGTAAAGCTGATCCACTCTCTCTACTTCCCAATGAACACTCAACTTTTAAAGAAAAGCCTACAATAGCGCCCATTTATCAAGCTGCTTCCCTTGTGATTCTTCATCTCCAGATTGAATTGAATAAAAAAATCACTCAAATCAATATCCTGTCAAGGGTTTTATTGTATTTTTTAAACATCAAGGTTTGTGTTTGTGACAATGATTTCTCTAAATCAGTTTAGACACCATACAGTATTAGTTATTAGCCCTGTAAATTCAGCCTGTTTAACACTTCATCAAAACTTACACGGATATTGTGTCAAGCTCCTCATAACTAGTGAAAATGAGACCGGAAGTGAGACGATTTTGCCTTCATAATAAAGGCATACTGTCTGTAACTTAGAAAGTTTAAACTCAAGAGGAAGACTTTAGTTAAAAAAATAAAAAAATAAAAAACTCCGGCTACCAGAATCAGCTCTATATTAGGCTACCAATGGCTTTGTATAAAATGTTTGTTATCTTTCATGATCTTTTTGACATCATATAAGGCAATATAAGGCTTTTATAAGAAACGTTTTAAACTCTATTAATCTACTTTATCCCACGAAAATGCGATTTTTCACCTTATTTAATGTGAGGAAATTCGGTTTATCAAGTATTTGAAAAGGTTTCTCATATACTGGATTAAGGGTTTGTGTTTTATGCCTTCATTTAAAATTGTTGAACATTTTTTAAACACCTAATAACAGGACAGATAGTTGACTCTGCTTTTTCCCAAACATACTGATGTGTCACATCAATATCTTTCCCATAAGATTTCAGGACATTTGGAGCCTTCGCTGCTCTGTAAATTACTATTAAAGAGCAAAGAGTTGTCATATCACTTCATCTGTTACGCAGCAAAACAAGTATTGTCTTTATACTTGAATAGGTGATACTGATTGGAAAGGAAATATGCATGAACACCTTATACTGTTGAAGTTTATCCAATTAAGATAAATAACTTCATTTCAATAATACACAAAAAAGAGAAACATATAGGATTTGTTTTTCTTATTTGCCATTTGTTGATCTAACCCAGCATATTAAGTTTTATGAACATTTCTCTATAAAGATTTGACTCAGGTTTACTGCTTTTACTTGCAAGGGTTCCCCCGGAAGTGCTGTGTGGTGAAAAGCTCGTGCCGTCACACCTACCCGCGTGCGTCCACGGTGGGATGAGAGAGGGACAGCAGCGGGGGACTGACTGACTGGAGGAGGAGGTGGAGTCTGTCCCAGCCTGCATCTGGCCCGCTCCCCTCTCTCTGTCACCCCGGGCCAAACCCGCCCAGCTCCTCTCACTCACTCTCCGTCTGTTCTCCCGCACGGCTCGGCTCGGCTCGGCTCGGACACACACACACAGCAGTCCCTCACAGACTCACGCACACAGCGAGGACGCGGAATGGAGACGGAAGGGAGCCAGAGCAGCCTGTCCAGCACGGACTCCCCTCACGACCCCTGGTAAAGAAAAAAAACTTTTTCCCCCTTTTTACGACCGCACGGACACAAACACACAAACACACACACACACACACACACACACCTCTGAAACAAACCTGGTATTCTGCGCGAGGACACACTTACACACACACACACACACACACACACACACACACACACACACACACACTCCACACAGAGAGCCTTCATGTAAAATCAGATACACTCTCAAACACAGTCTTTACCTCCAGAGTTTCACTTTAAAAAACCATGATGAAAAGTTTTTAACACTACACAAATGACATCTCTAGTATATTTATGAAACTCACTGAATCCTCCTTTATCCAAAATGTACATTTATTTTATTTTCCCTCTCTCTCTTTTTTTTCTACAGCAAAATGTTCATAGGTGGACTCAGCTGGCAAACAACACAAGGTAAATCTTTTTTTTCCCACCACTTGCAAACTCTCTAAAATTGCCTCTATGTGTTTTAAACTCCTGGCATGGATCAGATGGAGCGAATGGAATCTTATTCGAGGGGCTGCATTTCTTAATATTTCTGTTTGCTTACGTAGAATTTGTTTATTTGTTTTGGCTTTTATTTAAAGTTTTCAATATGAGTCCTGCTCCAGAATGAATGCAGCCATTCAGAGCTACCATATGATGAATGAGTGATTCTTTAAAGCTTCTTAAAAAGAGCAAAATCTGATTATTCTCTTATAAATAGCATGAGGAATTTAAGATGGAATTATTGTTATTACTAGGAATTATTTTAGGTTTCTATTAAGCCCTGATCACCACTTATTTTATGCTTAAATTACGTAGAAAAATACATGAGCTTTGGTGCGGGAAATCTCAGCAGAGTGAAAAAGTTAGACTCTCTGCAACCAGACCCCTTGTAAAATGTTCTATTAAAAAGTTTTTGTTTCCTGTTTGCATCATAGTTCATCTATTAACGTGCCATGTCTTCGTGTTTTGCTTCCCAGAGGGTCTGAAGGAGTACTTCTGCAAGTACGGCGAGGTGAAGGAGTGTATGGTGATGCGAGATCCGGTTACTAAGCGCTCGAGGTGAGGGATCTGCGAGCCGGGCTCCTCCGCCGGAGCTGAAAGTTTATCTGACCTCCGTGATTCCTCTCTGCTCATAACGTATCATTACATGTCAACATCAGTTTCTGTGTCATTAATACTTTCTCTCTCTCTCCTCTTCCTCCCTCTCTCGCTCTCTCTCTCTCTCTCTCCTTGATGCCTGCAGAGGGTTTGGATTTGTCACCTTTGTTGACCAGGCAGGCGTGGATAAAGTTTTGGCCCAAACCAGGCACGAGTTGGACTCAAAAACAGTGAGTTCTCTGTATTTACTTCCCACCGGCGGCTAATCCCATTGCTCAGTGTTTGATTAGTGGATTTTCCAATAATCCGCGAGAGAGGTGTAACATTGCTACATTTTTAGTATGTTTGCTAAGGTTCCACTTTGCTGATGTTTCCCTAAAACCACGTCTGTGTCGGCCGCCACACATGAGATGTGTCAGTAGTGGACTCTCTCTCTGTGCTCAAGAAAATGTTACCAAAGTGTCAGTTTCCTTCGAAACAAGGGGAGCCGAACAAGGGTGGCTCTGACCAACAATCTCAGATTTAGTCTCTCTGAAGAGTAAACCAAAACTCTTATTCTGCCTTTTGTCTTTTCTGTCCCAAGAGGCAGAATTGATCCTTTTAAAAGAGAAAAAGTTTGTGAATGGCAGAAGAAAAAATCAACCTGAAACCATCAAGGTGTGAAAGCTGGAAAAACTCAGGAAGACAAGCACTCAGATTTCTGTGATGCTGTGATTTGAAGGCAGCGTGACACATTCAGGTTCTTTCACCTGTGTGAATCCGAACTTCAAATGTATTAATCGCCTGTGTTGCAGTGTGTGTGTGTGTGTGTGTGCGTGTCTTTTTGTCAGTAATGAATGTGGGCCGGTCTGGGAACAATGTGGCCCGTTGGTCGCCATAGGGACCACTGCCCCCGCCTCCCTCCTCTGTGGGAGTGGTGATGGCTGCGGGTTAGTCACTGTATTGAAACGAGGGGAGGCTATTTCTTCCTTTCCCCTTTTGTGCTCAGAGAAATGCACCTTCTCGGCTCTTTGGAGGATAAGTGCTGAAGAAGGAAATGGAGAAGGAGAAAAAAAAGTAGAGAGTTGTGAGGAAATGAGATTTTTTTCATTATTATGAATCCAAAATTAGCAGCTGTGGAAGATGTGTGATGGAGGAGTCAAACTAAATTTAGTTTTTTCTTGGTTTCCCCCAGTGCCCCTCTGCTGTAGTGTCACTTGCAGGCACGTCAGCTATGACAAGTGGCACCATCATGGTTGGACGCCACTAACTCACCATGGGGTTTGTTTCCATAGTGACCCCCCCCCCCCCAAACAGTTGAAGAATGGCTCTGTCTCAGAAAATAAAAGGAAGATAACAATGCACATCATTTACAATCATTTTGAAGATGGCAGAAACAGGCCATGATAGGGTGCCTCTTCTTATTGATACATTTTCATTGATGATCCTCTCCTTCTAATTTGAGTTTTTCCTCCTCACTTGGACTAAATTGGGATGATGTTTGGGTCCATCAGTGGCGTTTTGTGCAGGCCTCAGAGAGTGTTTCTTGTCATGTAGAGGGCTCAGTGATCATCCACAGGGGTTGGATGGTGAGTTGAGTAGAGGCCTTTTTAGACCACTCACCCTCCCCCATGTCCCCCCACTCTCTCCCATGCAGACAGGTTATCCTGTTAGAGAGAAAAAGTTCTCCAGTGGCAACAGAAAGAATGTGCCATGCTGTGACCGACTGAACCGCTCCGGCACTGGAATTAACAGAGCTTTGCACAGCCGAGAGGCTAAAGAGCAAATACAGTGCTGCTGCTGCTGCGGAGGAATTTATTGGTACTTATTGTGCTGAAGGACAGATGCGTTTAGGTTCTGACCAGTATAGGAAAGGCAGGTTTTAATGTGATTTATGTTACTGCTGCTGCGTTAGTCGCCCCTCTGGGTTCCCTCCAAGCTTCCTCCTATCTGTAAAGTCAGTGACGGCCGATGCAAACTGCACCTTTGTGGGACAAAGTTTCCATTCAACGACAGCGCCGATGTGCAGAGCCGAGAGTTTTACAACAAAGTCACACAGCTCTTTGCAGAGTTGTGGCCCCCATTAACCATTTCCATGCTGACCTGAGAGGAAAGAAGAGGAAGAGGGGGGGGAGGATAACCCCATCTGTGATTAGTACGGCTCTCCTGACTAATAGGATTGAAGTCAACAAGCTTGAGTTGTTCCTCAGAGATGTTGAGTGCGGCCCAATCGGCACATTGCGTTAAGTGTGTTCGCGGCTCAGGGCTGTGACAGGCAGCGCGCTCGGCCAACTGTTGCGTAGCTCGGATGGAGTTGGTCAAAGGGGATTGCCCTGATTTCATAAACCTCTCTTGGAATTACGTTCAGCTTCTTCTTGCCTGTTACCCTGGCCTGGGGCACCTTAAAATAACAGCACCTGTCCTTCAATGTGTTTTTAAGTCAAAAATCCCCTGCAGACGTGTTTCATGCTGTTTCAAACACTCTGAAGCTTATAGAAATGAAATATATGGTATGCTCATATGGTACACGCATACGTTTTAAAGTTCAGACTTTTGGAAAGTGCAGGATATACTTCCCTCTCCTGCAAGCAAATCTGAGAACAGCGATTTATTTATTTATTTATTTATTTTCAAACTCTGCAAAGTGAGCTTAAAGCTTTCAGAAAATACGTTAATGCTTGTAAAAAAAAAAGTAATGAAAGGAGTTCTTCTTAGACCCCAAAAAGTCTACGTTTGAGGTGTTTTTGGATTGTGTCACATGTAGACATCAAATCATGTGGAAAAAAAAACTCATTGCTGTGCAGTTTTAATTGGGTCACAAAAGAAAGTTCGATTAGTCCATAGAATGATCAAAATTGAAACTACTTCTTCTCTGTCGTCAAAAATACCAGAATCCAGGAATTTTCAAATATCGTTAGTTTCAAAGGTTTAACCCCCGGACATAAAATTCTCCTACATCACTACACACAGCACACTATCAATGTATCTGAACTGCTCTTGCATCACACTCTTGTAAGTTGCATCCTTGGCCATGATAGTCTGCCAAATTAGTTGTTATGTCATGATTTTTTGCGCTTCTATAAGATGTGAAAAAGCAGCCTTTTAGAGTGAAAAACAACATGTTAGTGGAGAGGAAATCTAAATACGCCTCCTTTGGATTTGATCAATTTGCTGTGATCGACATGGAACCCATTTCATGCAAAACAGCCACATTTTCTGTTTAATGTCCACATTTCCTCCCCTCGGATGCTGCTGTGTGCTGCCATGTGTTTCATTCTGTTTGTGTGTGTGTGTGTTTGTTTTTGAATGTGCACAGGAGTGTTGGACATCAGGAGGGTTGGTGACCGGAGGTGACTATCAGTGTAGTCTAGCCACCATAGAAACTAAACTAGTAGAGATTCTGCATCTGATCCTCCAGTCTTAGCCTTTAGTCTTCTCACTCTGCTCTCTAGAACAAAAGAAAAAAAGAAAAAAGAAACTTGCGGGGAACTTTAATTCGAGTAGAAACAGCACAGTTAGCCTCACCGTGGTAAACGCATGTGGTTTACCATCGAGGCTCTAGCTCTCTACTGTAGTTGAACTCTACCCTCTCATGGTTACGGACTAATCTTAGCGCTGTACTGTCTCACTATCTGTTAGTGTAACTGCAGTACAGTGTGGTGTAGTCTAGTTGTTCTTTAGCTCTTTTAGACCAGTTTAGACTAATATAGAGGTCTCAAATTCCAATTTTACAGCCTGTCTATGATTGCATCCTCAAAGCATGGTGTGGTTCTCTCTCAAATCTTAACCTTTGGCCTTCAGTTTGGCCACATAATGTTTAAATTCTGTTGCTTTGTTGTAGTTTTAGAGCTCAGATTTACATTAAAGGAGGTTAACTGCTAATAGACGTGAAGCTGATTCTTTTTCCTGGGTGTAAACATCAGGAGCAGCAGGGTAGAGGACGCTCCGGATCAACCTTAAAGCGTACTGGATGACGCACGCTCCCCCCCTGTTGTTGGCATCACCTCCGTCAAAAGCTGAGGGAGGCAAAAACAAACAAACACAAACAAACAAAAAGTGGGTGGATCTGCTGTCGGTGTGGTTTGATTGACAGCTCCCTCTTCCTCTGTGTCGTCTTCCTCTCTCTCCTCCTCGGTCCTACTCGCTCTGTCCCCCCCCCCCCCCCCCCCTCGTCTTGGGCTCTCCTCGCCGAGGTGAGGCGTGTTTGTGATTGTAGTGCCCGTGTGAAATTCCAGGAGATCACATGTCACACGATGGTGACGAGAGAGGCATGGGTCCGCCGGACGGTCCCGTGCATTCCACCTGAGCACAGCTGCACGAACACACACACACACACACACACACACACACACACACACACACACACACACACATACACATAATTTTTATCCTGATGTTGGTATTTGTGATAAAATGTCAGGGTGAACATCAGAAACAGATTAATTAGGTTTTATTAAGGGTTGTTTCCTCCAAATGATTAAAAAAGAAAATCTTCTCAGCCACATATATTTAGCAAACTACTCAAGTCAGAACTTTGGATTTCCTTGCCCAGATTTGTGAAGTCAGTTTTCTAGATTTTTGCCTCCACATGAATAAAAAAAGGAGTCGTTGGAATTTATTTTATGATGCTCAAAACATCAAAAACAGCCTATTTTAAAAGTTACACAAGAGCATTTCTTTCAAGAAACATTGTTAAAATCAAATCAAAGTCCAACCTGAAAACAGTTCCAGTTTACAGTCCCTGTTAGGATGATCACGGCGTATTTTGTGGCAAACCTTTTTCAGTTATTTCTTTTGATTGATGTGTAACTACCTACAAGTAAATAAGACCAAAACAATCTACAAGACATTTTGTTATTTTTGTAATTTTTGTGAAGTGAACCTTTTTGATGAAAATAATTTAAACAATTACCTTCTGGAGGACAGATTTAACCTTCTGCATGTTACTACTCTCACATCGCTACATGCAAAAGTTTAAGTTACCTGAGCAATTTTTCTTTTTAAAATCAAACAGAAATGAACATTTACGTATTAAAAATGTAAATGATAGTTTAAAAAAAAAACTCTTGAGAAGTTGTGACCCACCTTTCATTGAAATTAAAACACCTACAAAGTTTGTCTCATTGTCTTGCACGATGACAAAAAAGACTTGAATCTTGAATGTTGAATATTTACAAGCAGATAAAGACACTTGCATGCCCAAAAGAGGGAAGAGAACAAACAGTGAATGGCCTCCATACACTGTAACATACCTCATTTAAATACTATTTCAGACTTTCAAGAGATCGTGTTTAAGATGTCTTTTAAAATCTAAAAGAGAAGAGAAAGTGTGAAGTGAAAAGAAAAGCTGTTTTTAAAATGACTGGACCGCTGTTGATTGAAAGCTGGCTGCTTCTGTGGAGTCGACTATAGAGATCAACAGATGTGCTGTGATAACAGTGGATCTGAGACGTCCATATGCAGAACCTGGTCTACCATCTCAAGCAGGTTAATGTCAGAAACCATCACAATGATAAACTTAAAAACACCATCACCTTGATATAGAAATAGTTGATACATGGTCATAGGCTCTGAGGAGGACAAAATAGATAAATCAGACGTTCATTGGCGAATCATTTAAGAATAAAATGTGAGATTTGAATGTGAGTAAAGGGAAGTTGACAAGTTACTCCTTCATGACACTTAACCCCCCCCCCCCCCCCCCTTCCTCTTTCTCTAATTTCTCCTGCAGATCGACCCAAAGGTTGCTTTCCCCCGCAGAGCTCAGCCCAAGGTGAGTCAAAGCGTCTCCCTGCAGGTTGGTGTGTGTTGAGCGTTTCAGTCTCTTATCGGGGATAATGCCTCGTAATCTGATGAACACGATCAGTGCTGACATCCCTGAACTGTTACGTGATCGTGTGTTAACAAAAAAAACCTTCACAATTTCAGAGACACTCGCCATTGTTAAGACAACCTTAACACCTGTATTATATTTCATGGACGCTCGGTGTTGATCTGAGCCAGTTTTGTTTCTCACATGACAGCATGTTGTGAAGAAGTAGGATTGTTAAATTAAGCCTGAAGGAGTACTGCTCGTGAGTACTGACAGGTAGTGTGGCCTTAAAACATTCATTGTAACAAAATATATTTTCAAAAACAAATGCGGCAACGTAGTTCCTTTCACAGCTTCCTGAGGCCCATGATGTGTCCAAGTGCAAGAAATGAAAAATGCTAGAAGTGTTCACAGGGATACAAAAAAATAAAATCTCTGAAAGGGCTTGTTATTATTTAAATGTAGGAGTCGTGGAGAGCCCTACCATACCATACAAATATGTCAATTAACTGGATAAAAAAGGAGCAATTTGAGGTTTGTTTCAAATGTAAAGGGCAATATAAAAAAATATATATTATTACCGTATTTATTTATTTTATTATTTCAAATAGCATACATATATATTTTGATTTCACTTTGCAATAATGTTGTAACGTCACAGATTGACTTGTAGATTACACTTGATTAGAAGTGTTTGTCGTTGTTGTGCTTGTTTTAATGTGCTTATACGACAGCATTAGAAATGAAGGAAACCTTAATGTCCTTTGGAGAATAAAGCCAGGTTTGAGTTGAGGTGCTCACAGCTTGCTTTCTGTCCTGCTGGTACCGAGCAGGTATTTCTAGCGTCTCTGGCACACGTCCAGTGTTAATGGGTGCAAATTGGATTCTTCACTAAATTCCAAGAAACTTGTATCGACTCACAAACCTCTAACAGCCCCGCACAAAGCCATGTTAGGGTGGTGCGTAAAAGTACAGTATCGCTTTTCTTATTAAGGGACTGAATGAAAACCATGGAGTGAGACGCTGCTGGCCTTCACCTTGTTCAGAGTAATGAGATGTTTTCAGAGTAAATAAAATGATTTCAGAATAAATAAGATGATTTTCAGAATAAATAAGATGATTTTTGGCTTTTTATTCAACGCTTAACAACTCTCATAGTCAGCAAACATCTCAGATAAAACTAAAGTAGGTAACATTGAGAAAGAAATAACATGCACAGTGGCCTGTTTTTGAAATCACAGCCGAAAGTGAATTCGCTTTACCATAAGCAGAGTGTCTGAGTAGATCTCTTTGAACCAAACCAAGATGATATAAAAAGACATGCTCTTGAATTTGACATAATTATTGTTGGTCAGTGAAAAATCTCTAAATGGTTCTGTGCTGTCCTTAACACCCACAGAACTCACTTTAGAGATACATTTCATTGTGCTGTTTCTACTTCTTACCTCAGAAAACAGACTTTTCTATTTTCAATGGAGCCCTGCAGTTATTCCAAAATCCTTTATACCGGACATACATCTTTTTAATGAGTTTTTCATCTTCTTTTGCTTCTCAATAGACAAAAGAAATGCCCTCAGTTTACCTGTAGCACGTGAAAAGTTTTTGCTTCACCTAAATAAAGTGAAGGTTTCTGATTTTTCCAATGGAGCCTTTAACGGGAGGATAATGACTATTTTGTGTGTGTTGGTGGGCAGTGGTGAGAAACGTAACAGCTAGTTTTGTCCCAAGAATCTATGATTTGAACTCCTACTTTTTGGTCAAATTTTTTTTTTGTTTTGTTCAAATTACAGCTGGTATAAAAAAAATCACAGGTGTGAGTGCAATACAAGAATAACTTTTTTTTCAAAGTGTTCAAGTAGTGGTTTGACTTACTCCACTTGTGTGTTTTTACTGTAACTTCTTTATCTTTCAGGACAAAAAAAGCAACGAAATAGAAACGTAAAGAGGTGTTATACAGTTTCAGTTCTTTAACAGACTACTGGTGCAAAAATGTGCTCATCAGTTTCTGTCCTCCTCGTACAGTTGGTGACTCGAACCAAGAAGATCTTTGTGGGAGGCCTGTCAGTGAACACAACCATCGAAGATGTGAAGCAGTACTTTGACCAGTTTGGGAAGGTGAGTGATCTTTGAAAAAGTTGTTTGGATGTCACACTTTGGGGGGAAAGCGTTACATTCTTAATTAGATATATGTCTCAGAGTAAAATATGGATCACTTTGTTTGTGGTTATGGATTCACATAAGTTGGCGTTGGTGCAGAAACAAATCAACAGCTTAGAAACACGTAGTACCACGTCCCACCAGCTCCACCGAGTCTGATTCACTGCAAACTCTTTTCCTGAGAAAAACTTCACTTGGAGTCGAGCGAGCGCCTGGAACTGAAGGGTTTACGGCGAGGAGATGGAGGAGGGCGAGAAAAGGAGGGAGAGAAAACGCTCGGCGAGGGGAAGGAAGGGAAAAATAACGAGGCTGCGAGGCTTCAGAGCAGCAGGCGAAGTTAGGGGGACTAGAAGAGGGAGAGAGAGAGAGGAAGGGGAGGGAGAGCGAGGGGGGGGGGAGAAAAGTTTTGTCGTGAGTGTGTGGTGATGGTGAGGAAGGAGGAGGGATTATCAGAATCTGAATTAATCTGATGTAACAGCTGCTCCTACCCACAACCCCCTCCTGGCCCGTTACCGTGGTGACCTGGCTTGCCCATTGTCCCCAAGTAATTCTGCGGGTAAGGGGGTTTTGTTCTGAAGGAGGAGGGACGAGGTGGTGTTCAGGGGTGTTAGCATGAGTGTGTGTGGGTGTGTGTTGGGTGGGGGTCAACTCAGGAGTTCAGAAACAAAAAATACAAGTAGACTAAAGCTTTAAAAAAAAAAAAAAAAACAGCAAATCTATCACTCAAACTTTCATTTCACAACTATTTACCGGTTTTTAAAATACTTTTGTATTTGTATTTTTCAACTGGAAATGTGGAAAGACGTGCAGTGGAGAATAAATGATGGGCTGACAAAGGCACCAATCGGGGGGGGGGGGGGGGGTTGAGAGAGGGTTTGCAGAGGCGTAAGAGGGGGAACTGGGGCAAAGATGGGGTGTGTTGGGGGGTTTACGAGGGCCATTATGCCCCTCTACAAAGCTAGGCAAATATTTTGTTAGTTTGCTCAGAACTTATCTGCATAATGAAAGTTTCAGGACAGTTCACACTCTTAACTTGTGTCTTCTGATAAAAAACAGACTGTAAGTAATGTTTGAGCAAACTTTTATGTGGATTTAAAATGATTTTAATCCAAATAATTAGGCTAAACAAAAGAACTATATCAACTTTTCCAGCGGATTGCAGGTTGACATACTGCATCTAAAGGCCTCAGAACTTTTCAAAGAAAGACATCCATAGACCCTGAATTAGCCGCTTGGTTTCCGACTGCGTGGCACTTCATATTTTAGTGCCATAGCTTTGGGCCTCGAGCTTCCCTCACACTCCCTCCTCAATCATAATATCGAGATGAATTTTGCGGACAGAGATATCGAGGGATGGACGGTGAAATGTGGGCTTCAGCCATCCATGGAAGTTCCTGATTAGACTGCCTCACTGGACCTTTTGTGTCCCGTGCTGGTGAGGACAAAGGAGCGCGGAGAGGGATGGGCAGGGGATAACAGGGAAGATGAGAGGTGGAGAAAAACGGGGATAAGAGGGAATATTGTCCAACAGTACGCCATTAAAATGCCCGCTGTTTGAAATATCGAGCAATGGTGTGCAATAAACTCAGTTTGTGTTGGTTTTGAACAGGGCGTTGTTGTGATGTCTTGGTTGCATCCTACAGGGCGACATCGTGTGTGTAATTTCAGTAACCACTGGGATTGCATAAAGTCTTTTGATTTGAAGTTAGTTATGTCAGTTTTATAGTTTCTTTCTCTATCTAGACATGCGACCTCAAGCATGGCTCACAAAGTGTTCAACAATTGTCGAAAATGTTTGGCTATCTCTTGAGTTTCTATTAGCAGGCCTCTTGAACAAAAGTTAGATAGTGAACAAAATAAAATTGCGGAGTCGTGTCAGGGTTTGAGATTTGAACATGTGTCAGCCGTTGAGCAAATGTCAGGCTGGCAGGAAGCAGCGACTTGAGAGGCATCAGAGTAACAGGTCCCCTTTCACACTGACACTCCTTCTTCACCTCTGACCTTTCTGTAGGCAAACTGCCCTTGGGGGTCCACACACACACGGACACACACGGACACACAGTCACACTATGTGCTAGCACTGAGTGTGTGAGTATGTGACTATGACAAATTGTTCTGTGGACCTTATCCAGCAAACTTATTATAGACCGAGAGCACAGATTCATTTACCAAATGTTTATTTGGACGTCTGTGTGACAACCCGGGTATAAACATGTAGAGAGAGCGTGGAAGAGTACGTCAACTTTGACATAAGAACCTCCTTCTGTGCGTGTGTGTGTGTGTGTGTGTGTATAGAATAGACACCTGTGTCTTTGCTTTGTAAAGGGAGGCTGGGCCGGAGGGAGAGGTCAAAGGGAGAAGAGGAGGAGGAATTATGACTGACTGTGCCAACAAACAAAGCCTCCAGGCCTCTTTGTTCTCCCTCTCCTTTTGTCTCTTCTTTCTCCTCCCTTTCCACTTTGACCCAATCTTTTTTTTTTTTCCTCCTCTCTTCCAGGACTCTCTGTGCTCTCTTTCACCATATCTCCACCTGTCACTATTCCTCTCACTATCAGCTCTCCGCTCTCATCGAGTCTCCACCTGCCCACAGGATTCACCTTTCTGCCTATGACCGGCTAAACAGTTTCTCTCTTTGCGGCCCCTTTTGTCTCACTGGCACTCTCTCCCACTGTTCATAAAGGCATATTTGACGTTGGCTTGAGCTCTTTTAGAAGGACTTTTTGTACTGTTGCCATGGGAATGTCAAACTTTGGAGGGTAAAGAGGCGGCGGATTATGGGCTGTCTGAGAGAAGGATTGTGACCAGGGCAGTTGAGCAGCAGACGCAGACTTCAACTTTTTGTGCCACCCATTATGTCAGTTAGATTTATACACCACCGGGGCCTGGCGTACAGTATTTCCCCATCTTTGCCCCCTCGGCCTCCTCTTTGTAACCTGTCGCCCGTCTCCAGTCTCCTCCCCTCCCTTTTCCCCCTCCTCTCTGTCCATCTGTTGCTGAGCCTCCCTGCAGAACTTGAGAAGGGCTGAGGTCAGGCAATATGTCGCGTGGTAAGAGAGAGAGAGAGAGAGAGAGAGAGAACACCGGCTGAAAAAACTGTGTTGTTTGTGTCCCCCCCAGGTTGACGATGCCATGCTCATGTTCGACAAGACCACCAACAGACACAGAGGTGAGACAGACTGACCCCTCTCCCTGCCCATCTATTTCTTACATCGCTTTGTTGATTTACTCCTCTTCCTCCAGTCCTTCCCCGGTTTCTATCGATCCTCCTCTACCCCCCCCCCATCGTCTCTCCTTCCTGTGGGCTGATCTGGAGGAGACGAACGGGGCTAGTCTAATTAGCCAGTCCGTTAATCTGGATCAGGATAAAGCCTCCTTAAGCACCTCCTCCCCACCCTGGGACTGATCGATTATGACAGCCTACCAGCTTTGCCCGGGCCTGCTGGCCTTCAGGAAGGGAGGGAAGAAAGGATGAGTGCAGAATAGCAGCGTTGAACAGGGGGGAAGGGGGGCAAATGTGTTAAGCGGCTATTACAGCACTGATTACTGGAGACTATTAGCTATACTGCTGCACAGAAAGGCCTACTGTCTACATGCACCACACTGTATGAATTCTCTACTCATAAGCGTTTCCTCTCCAGGGTTTGGGTTTGTGACGTTTGAGAATGAGGATGTGGTGGAGAAGGTCTGTGAGATCCACTTCCACGAGATCAACAACAAAATGGTGAAGACTCTGATACTTTAACTAATGTGTAATACCACTATGTTGTGAAAAACACAAGTGCTGATTTGGCTTCTTTTTTTTTTTCTGGAAACAGGTGGAGTGTAAGAAAGCTCAGCCCAAGGAGGTGATGTCCCCCACGGGCTCAGCGAGGGGGCGCTCTCGTGTGATGCCCTATGGCATGGATGCCTTCATGCTGGGCATTGGTATGCTGGGTAAGGTTCACTGATCAATACAGGAAGGATGTGGCTGCACAAGTTATCCTGGTTATAAGTATTCCTTCACAAAAGCTTCTGCTGCTTTAAATACCGGATGGCGCTCCATGGGTGACACATATCCAAGCTCAAAAAGTGGGAAAAAAAAGAATGCACTGCTTTTTGAAAAAGTTGTTCACAACTCACCCAGCTGTGGCTCAGTGGTAGAGTCTGTCGATCCCCAGCTCCTTCAGCCACATGTTGATGTGTCCCTGAATTGCTCAAAGCGCTAGACAAGTCCAGGTCTATTTACCATTACCGTAAAGATTAAGAACTCACAATCAAACTATTTTTTCCCAAAAATAATCTTTAATGATTTTAACAATAACACAACACAAGTATATGTAAGTATTATACAGGTACACAAAGTGAGGCAGGATCAGAAAAAAAAATCTCTTAATACTGCTGGAGATATAACAACAACATTGTGGATCCATATTATTACATAATCACATTATCCGAAATGCATCAATTAGAATTTTAAAAAAGCATTAAGAAGAGAAGTTGGTAGATGAATCTGTTAAGGTGATAAACATCAGCTAAAGTACATTTAAGATTACGCACAAACCACTGACAGATTTTTAACACTGCAGAGGGCTACTTATATTTCCCCAGGTACTTTCATCATTTAGAAATAACGCTGTCAAATAAATGCATAAGAGGCCAAAGCTCAGAATGCAATGGTTTCCTACATTTCCCACAATTCAACTATAGGTCTCATACCTACAGATTGTAAAGTTGGCTTTATGCCAAAAAGATAAGTCTTGTGTCTTTGTACAAAAAGTGTGATAAACCTAATTACATCCTCACAATATCTCCAGGGCTTTATGTTTTTGATCCTTTAACTTTTCACAAAGTCTCACCTGTGGCTGAGTAGAATTCACCATGAAAGAAACACTGAACCTCAGGTGGAAAATTAGTGGAAAAGCCCTGTATTGATTCTGATCCTCTCATCTTTTCCATCCTCTACAGTAGGGCCAACTTTTTAACACATTTCAATTGTTCTCAGACCTGATCGAGCATCTGCAGCTTATCTTAACACATTGATACTACCACCTACTGTTCAGTCTGAGAATAGCACCTTTTAATTCAGTATTTCAGAGCTTTGGTTAAAAAGGATAAATTAGGAGACATTTGACCACACTTTAAAATAATCTAAACATATCTTTAATTAATTGTGGGTAGTTTTATGGTGCTCATAACAGACACAATTATTGTTGTCCACCTGAAAGTTGTTCTGTAGTCGGTTCCCCAGGCAAAGGAAAACAAAGGAAATCTCTGTGTAAGGTGAATGGCTGAGAGTGAAACAGGAAACAAAGACAGTGAGCTGCTCAGTCCTGCCCCTGTGAAGAAATCAGACCACAGGTGTAGAATATCATCCACCTGTATGACAGACTGTACCAGGATTCACAGCTAGGGGGCAGCACGAGCACACTCCTGTTACTCTGTGTCCAGTGTTTCCTTTAATTGCCTCACTGATTTGTTAGTGTGTATTGTCTCTTAACTCTAAGTCCTCATCACTTTCCACAGGTTATCCAGGCTTCCAGACTGCCACCTACACCAGTCGGAGCTACGCTGGCATCACACCTGGATACACCTACCAGTTCCCTGGTAAACACAGCACACTCTCACCTCATGATCTGTCATTTTAACTAAGAAATAAATACACAGCAACATTAAGATAGTAACTGTTATTTGTTATTCATGCATGGATTTAGATGAGACATAAAAGAGCATTTCTTGAGACATTGGCTCACCTGTATTGGAGTGAAACCAAAAAACCTTCAAATCATCCCTGTGTCTTTTGATATCTTATCCATATTCAAACACAGCCTACGTGAAGGGAAGACTGCACATTACATTTAGCTGTCCAGCACACTCTCTGGCATTCAATGATTTATCATTATTCCTTTTAATTAAACCATATAAATATACATTATCATATTCAAAGGCACTAACCATAAACATAGTTTGTGCTAGCTCTGTTGTGTTGTTTTCTGAGAACTTTACCCAATTAAGGTGTAAATCTCTAATCCTTATGATCTAGCATGGATTAGCAGCTTTGTAGTGTTTTTTATAGCCTGTATGTAATTGCTAAAATCAGCATAACATGCTGATCAATGACTATGCTAACAAGATGAAGGTTAGCAATATTGATAAACTTTTTTGCAAGATTTCTTGGTTAGTTCAACCTATCAGCAATGTGCAATTTTCTAATTAGAGGCTAGCTTTATTTAAACACAATCATCCAATATTTATACAGTTTCTATTTTATTGTAGCTTGATAGCATTTTAACATTTTCTGATAGATGCTAGCAATATTTTTCAACAATTTTAAGGTTCCTTGTTAGCTAGCATTGTAACATTTGCTAATCACCCCTAAACAAAAAGTAAAGTCTAGGCTGATGTAAATGTTCTAAGAAGTAGAAATAATACTTCAATTCATTTTAAAGTTATGATGATGATTCACTCCAAACGAAACAACCTCAGCCAGCGTAGCTACATCCCTCAGTGTCCTGAGCAGCAGGCTGTCATGTGGTTGTTCTAAAGGAAGGATTTTAGTGTCAGTGCTCCTGTGATATGAACAGACACGCTGTCACAAATACAAACATGTTTACATAGAAGCACGTGAATCATTGAGAGGGTAAAAGGCTGCTTGTAAATATCAAGGAGTGGAAATGCTTGTAAGCTTGTGTATGTGTATGTTAGCATGCAGCGTGTTTTATTGGAGTGTATCCAAATGAGTGTTTTACATATTGTTAAACTCAAAGCATGCTTTTGAATTGAAGTTTCATGATTGAAAATAGTAGCATTTTTTGTATTTCTTGCTGTTCTTTAGTGATTTAACACCACTGTATTATACGACACTCTTCCATCCTCTTTATTCCTGTTTGCATTCCTCAAACCTTGTATTTAAATATGTACTCTCCTCCTCCTCCTCACCTGAGGTGTTGCTCCTCCAGTGTGTGTGTTTGTGTGTTCTCCTTGCTGCCGGTGGTGGTGTGTGTCTCACAGCACTCTGATGTTTCTGTTTTAGAGTTCCACTTAGAGAGGACTCCCCTTCTGACTTCACCCCACCCCCCTGAGCTCACAGGTCAGTCAGTCCCTCCTCTGGACTTTACAAGCAGCATGTTGTCAGTCTGCTACACCACACATTCAAATCTACACCTGATCAATCTTTGGTGTGCCTGTTTGTGATTGTCAGTCCTCCTTGGTCTCTATCTGAAGGCAGGATTGCTGACAGTAACGAGGACAGGAAGGTTTTAATGTTTACTTTAAAGGCTCCCTCCAGTGACCTCGTTTTGAACCTCTTTTGAAATAGCATCATTAGCAGTAGTCTCATTGACAGCTTTGACTTTAATGTCTTCTGTTCAGAGAGTCCCTGAGTTCACTGGAGTGAGACTTTCAGTTATGTTGTGAGTTTGTTCTGATGTCTTTTTACATATTAAGACATCTAATCTGGTAATTCCCTTTTTTTCCTTCAGCCATTCCTCTCACCGCATACGGACCAATGGCAGCAGCAGCTGCAGCAGCAGCAGTAGTAAGAGGTATGAGTAATGAAAAACACTTGTTTGGTATTGCCAAGCCTTAAATAAAAGACTTTTGTCTTACCATCTGATATTGTAAAAATAAAGGGAACAACTCAACTGAATCCAACAGACCTTACTTATTAGATTGCTAAACGTTTTCAGATGATCTCTTATAAAGTTAAACAATATCATTGAGATACTTGGTGCTCTGCATTTCCTGCATTTTCTGTGTTATAAAATATCCAACTTAAAATCCAACACCTTCCCTATTAGAGAAGAGATAGAAAACAAAAAGCACTAAAGTGTCTGCTGCCTTAAATATGCCTTAAAAAAAAAAAAAGTAAAAGTAAATCTTAATCTTAAATCTAAAGTAAAAGTCCTCAGAGAAATCACATTAAACCTGTAGTGGTTGAGTTTTGTCCACATGGGGGCAGCAGATTAAAACTGTCAAGAATACACAAATGATTGTGTTATTATCTTATGAAGCTTATTTGGTCAAAGTTGTTTGCAAACCCCTTAGGCAGATAAAGATTTGAAATCTTATGGAGTTTTGTTTCTGGACACTTTTGAATCCATGTGCTCTATGAAGCTTTACTTGGAGCTCCATTGTTGGTCTTCTTAAAGTCCTGACGGCATTTCTTGGAAAAATCCCTCGCTTTCCATTTATCAGGGTTCTCATATTTTTTGTGAGATTGTTTTTAAAACAGCGGCCTACTACATCTCATAAGATCTCATAACTACCTTCATGAGAGCTGTTAGAGTGAGCTTGACAACCAACCTAATGAGCTGAAATATGCTACAATACTGAGTGGAGATACAGAGTTATATGAACATTATAACTACTTTTGTGGTGTTTAAAAACACTGTTGTTATGAAAAAAGAATGATAAGCATTTATAAAGATGGATTCACATGGTAAATTCCCTTGACATTAACAGACTTTCCTTCATCTTTGTCTAAAAGATATATATGTAACTTCAAATGAGTCCTCCTGGAAGTTATTAAATCAAAGAAACAAGATGTCTAGATATTTTATAAGTTAAATATTTACCTTGTTGTTTGCATTATTTTCCGTTAGGCTCCACCCCGTCTCGCTCAGCTGGATTTTTGGGTACGAGCAGCCCGGGACCGATGGCAGATCTTTATGGAACAGCCGGTCAGGAGTCGGCCGTGAGCAGTTACCTCAGCGCTGCGAGCCCCGCCCCGAGCACTGGATTCAGCCACGGCCTGGGGGTGAGATAACCTCTCTACTGATGACCTATTTTTAGAAATAATTTAAAGCTGTAGATGATTTGTATGTTGCATTCATTTTTCTGAATTACATCTGTGTTTTAACTCAATACTGTCCAAACTTTAAGTAGCTTATAAAGAAATGAAACCAGATTACGAGACATGCGTAACTCTTTGCTCTGCCCTTTTGGATGATACTGAAGTAAATAGTTTGTTATAAGATAATGTGTTGTTCCATATTCACTCAAATATAGTTTCTCATGGTGGGGTTAGGTCACAATATTTCAATATTTTTATGTTCACTTTAAGCTTTTAAGCTAAGCTAACAAGTTGTTGCTTGATGCTAAGCTAACTTAGTAAAGACTGGAAACAGGTGAAACAGCAATGAGAGATGTTACCTTTGGAAAGAGCTTGGCCAGCTTTTTCCGCCTGTTTCCATTTTTTTGTGCTAAGCTAAGCTAACCCAACTGTTGACCGTTGGCTGTAGCCTTAAATTGACCTGATGTGATGTGTATGGATCGTCTCATCTGCAGGAAGGTGAATAGGCTTTTTCCCCAAAATGACAAAATCAGCTTTAATAAAAACTGATTGATGGAAACATATCTATTCTGTTTGTGTGCCATCATGTCAAAGGGTGTGCAGTTATGCTTTTTAACAGAATCTTTTTCCCTAAAGAAGAGAATAGTGACTGAATAGCTGAAATTCATTTTGAGAACAAAGCCTGAACATGTCTTGTTTGTTCTCTCCCATAGGGCCCTTTGATCGCCACAGCCTTCACTAACGGCTACCACTGAGAGAGTAAGTCACTTTGTCTTACTGGAGAGCTTTATTTATTTAAATGTAACATTTGAAAGAGACATTTGAACTTCCATTACCTGCCTATAATCCAGGTGTGTGTTTTTGCCACAGTACAGAGCTGTAGACAGAGAGCTGGGAGGAGTTGAAGCTGCTTTGGAGCTGATCTAGTCAATCCACCTCTCCCGTCACGGCAGCTGAACCTTCACCTCCTCCACCCTGATGTCAGCATGAACCCCCCCTCCCACCCTGCTGACGCCTCACTTTACTCCACCTCCTGAGAAAAAAAGAAGAAAACTTTCAAGCAGGGAGCGAAAACGTTTATCACCACATGTAAAAGCATCTCTCACACACACACACACACACACACACACACACACACACACACACACACACACACACACACACACACACACACACACACACACACACACACACACCACACACACACATATGCTGTATTTTTGGTCTTTCTTCTGTTATGTTTCACTTTGCTGTTTTTTGTGATGGCTGCGTTGTTTCTTTATCTATTACGGCTGTTTTTATTGGGTCATTTGACCTCTGAGGAGAAGAATCTCTGAGTTTTTGAAGGTCACAAGCTGTAATTTGTACTGGAAAAACTGTATATTTGTCAGTAGTTCATACTGAATTTTAACAAACATTTGTGATTAATACTATTTCTTGAAAATGTGTCACAAAGTGTATATCTTGGTAGGATTTTTTTAACAAAAACTTGTTAAACTAATAATGTCATTAGTCACAGTTTCATAATAGGCCTACATGAGCTGTACAATTTTGTAAGATATTGTAAATATGACTGGTTTCTGGGGGAGGGGTCGGCTGATTTCTGTGTGCGGGAGGATTTTAAAAATGGTACGACTGATTCTTTCATCAATCCTTACGTGTCGGAAAGTTTGACTGTTACATATCCTAGTTTTCATGTGGAGGTCAAGAACATTTCAGTATGTCAGAGCAGCCATATACTTTAATTATCCTCCAGACAATTATAACAGATGTGTCATTTGATTCTGCTTGAATTTAAACAGAGGAGATGCTGAGTCTGAAAAAAAAAACAACACTTTACTTTGGGGATATTTGTGGGTGGAAAAAGCTCCTGTAAGGGGGAAAAACATGCTGTTTTCTTACTTTGTCATATTCTTGTTTTAACTGTGATTTTCAATGTGTGATGATCGTTTATGAAGGAAAATGAAGGAGTAGTTCGCAGGAGCTGTCGTGCACAGTTTGCATTGTGATGAGTTCTGACTCTGCAGGTTGTGTTGATGTTTGCATGAGCGTGTCTCGTTATTTTCACACATTGCCATGTGCTGTTTTTTGTTGTTGTTTGTTTTTTTGTTTTTTGTTTTTTTTGGGGGGTTTTATACCTCAGTTGCAAATGTGAAATCTTAATCTGACTTTCTTTGTTTTTACATTAACATCTTTGTCAAAGTATATGGGATGTTTTTAAGAAAGGAGGGGTTGTATTAACTCTTGTTTACCTGTCACCCCCCCCCACACCTCTCCATCCCATCACTGTGTATCCACTGGAGGCCACAGACTGTAGCAATGTGGCCGCTATTTTTAGACCAAAACAATAATGTTAAGAGCTATAGGATGTTGCACTGGCTGATCACGATACATGTGTTCTCCTTTGAATGTTAGCTAAAGAACAAACAAGCACTCTGACCCACAATGCACCAGGTTTTACACTTTGATACACACTCTCTCTCTCTCTTTCTCACACACTGCTGCAGGCTACCATGGTAGTTCAAACCTTGATGCTGTTTTCACTGAAAAGTAACCATCTTGTCAACACTGTAACATTTCTGATTTTATTTTCCTGTAATGTTTATTCCTTTGGAGAAAAAAAAAACTTTTTAAAATTCCTAATAAATTATTTTAAAACATTCCATTCATGTATCCTGATTGACTTTTTCCCCCGCACTTGACCATATATTTCCTTAAATAGATGGACATTTAAACTCAGCTAGAAGTTAAGAATAGTCAGCATTAGATGGCGCTGTGTTAGCCTTGTTCCTATTTCAGAGGACTTACTATGTTTCCTTCATGACGGACACACCAACAGATTGCTCAACATTAAAACATTAAAATGTTCATTATTTTTCTATACATTTAGAACTAAATAATTATACATTTACAAGAATTCAGCATATTCTAAATCCCTAAATAATTTGTAATAAATTATGTAATTTGGTACTCAAGAAAGAAAAAGTGTTTTTTATCTTGTGATAAACAGTGTTAAATTGTTCTTTGGTCAAAATGTAAAATGTCTTATTTATGAATGAGTTAAATCTTTCTGTCTCTGTCCTCTCCTTGCTCTTCCTGACATTATTTCTGAGCATCACTTCCTCTGTCTCTGCGAGTCTTTAGTCTGCTCAGTTTTTTTTTTTACAGCAGCCTTCCTCTGGGACGCTCTCGTATCTCTCTGCCTCCTGATTTCTCTTCTCCATCATCTCTGCTCTGCTGCCTCCTCTCCCTCACCTCCACCCCCACCACCTCTCCCAGAGTCCCAGCTCTACTTCCTCGCCTCTGTGCCGCCCTGAGAGAGACGCTCATGAACACCAAGGCCTCTCCAGACTGGACCTCTGAGGTCCTGAAGAATCCAGAGGTTCAGGAGATCTGTCCTTTGAGGAGCTACCTCTATCTCACCTTGTCCACCTGCTTCTGCTTCTGCTTGGCGTGTCCCTCTAACATTGTGGTGGTGGTGAGACAAGTCTAAAGTTCAGAGTCTCTGATATAACTCCGATGTGAAGATGTTGAAACCTATTAACCTGTGATTTTAAGGTATTGGTGAGATACCTTTATTTATGTTTTTTTTTATGAAATCTAGTTATTTTAAAAGCATTGCATCCTTCATGACAGAGCCACCATCTTTAAAAAGCCTTACTCAACATTACAACATTAACATTTGTATTAAATTACTGTAGGCTACATTCTGTTCTAAATTAGTACACATTTGAATAATTTAGCATACATTATGCACGTATTTGCTTTTACTTAATTACTCATGCTTAATCACTAAATATTGTGTTCTAAATAAATCCAGTATGAAACCTTTGCATTAGTCAGGGAGCGTACCCCATGTGTGACGGCTACAGTCCTCCAAGCGGGCGACCCGGGTTCGAATCCAACCTGTGGCATCTTTCCCGCATGTCATTCCCCAGTGTCTCTCTCGCTCCCTGATTTCTGACACTATCCACTGTCCTATCTCTGAAATCAAGGCGTAAAAAAAAAACCCAAAGCATAACATTTGCATTAGTTGAAGAAAATAGTACCTGTGATCAATACAGGGGATTATTTTAACCATACCTGTGTCAGTACGGGATGATGGTTAATCCATGTCATCAGTCTATACTTTTAGTGTTTTTACACATTCATGCCATTTATGATGCTCCTTTGTCTATTGATCAAAATGCAAATAAGGAAAATGCAGTTAATGGACAATTCAAGTGCTGAACACTTATTATTAACCATGAAGCCACAAAGTTTAAGCAGTAGATCCGGCCAACACATGGAGTTTTGTGTTTGGGTGGAGAAGGCATTGTGTCACATTGATAGGCCAACATGAGCCATGCAGCCAAAGCAATCCAACATTTCTCATAGTTTATGAAATTGGCTTCAATACATTAATCAGATTCCTGTCAAAGACACAAAAGTAGACATATGGGTCAAAAGTCCTAAGAAGTGATAACCAGTTCTGCTGCCTCAGTGGGATTCACATTACTCACCTTAAAGGTCCAAAAGAGCTACAACAACTATGATGGTTACAAAACTTGGTAAGATTGTTTCTTATGTCATTTTGTCTTTGGTCATGTGATCATCACAACGCATCTGTTATTTTGCACTTAAGAGCAGCAGAAGAAATTGTTTTGCCTAGTATGTTTTTCCTCCACAGCTTGTGATGTTACTATTGGAGGTTAAATAGAGGTGAAAATGTCCCGCAGAGATCAGCTCTGAGAGGCAAAAGAAGATCTGCGGGGCTGCAGGTATCCACAGCTCTGTGTGGAGGTTTTGTAAGAGCTGTGGAGTCTCACTTTACCACTGAACACATCTTGGCTAATGTGGATAAACTGTTAAGGTAAAAGGAATGACTAAGCACAGGTCTATTAAACTTGATGAAAGATGGGACCATTTGTTAATCTGAAGGCAAATAAAGGACTTGATCACTTTGTGAAACATCATATAGCTTCAGAACAGTCTAATAGAGGGGAAACTGTGCACAGATGGGAGAAATACTTGTTTTCAAATTGAAATACTGAAAGAGATAAAAAGGAAAATGGATGATAAGGGGTAAACGCTCATCCAAAATCCCTACTGACACTATTGTTTATGAAATGCTGATTGGAAAACTATGATAAATGAAAACTATGATTTAACATTTAAATGTAACTGAGGTTTTCAGTGACAGACCTTAAGAGGGATCTAAACAAGTGATTTCTGTTCAAAGTGTCTGTCTGATGTATGACACTGACTCAAATAATAAATACATGTAGCTCGTCTCTCCAACCCTGAGAGAAGAAAAAGGATGACCTTTCCTAACAGTGAAACACTGATGACTCAAATGTTGTCTTAAGTGTGTACACTTACCGACTTTAGACATGTGAATCACTTGAAATAGGATATCTGTGAGAAAGCTTCAATAGCCCTGTTTTTGCTGAACTGTAGGAATTTTAAAATGGTGTGTGGACTCTGACCAGGCCAATAAAAATACATAAAAAAAACACAGATTTATGAACCAATAGTGTACATTCAAGTAAAAAGATTCTCTATCATACGTCAGAGACAACTGGCTATAAGCTTTTCTGACAGAATGATCATGGCTGGTCATTGCCAACTTGTGCTGCTTTTGAGTGTTTAAAATGAAGCAATGTCTACTTGTGTCCCGTATCAACATGTATCTGAAGTCATCATTAAGCAAAGCTTAAGAATAGTCTGAAGATTTCATGACAAGTAGTCTACAGTCTGACGCAGGATAAATGTCAAAATAGAGGCTAATCTTAAAAAATACGTCAGATTTCTAAAATCAAATGTTCTTTTCTGTTCTCTTTTCTGTTATTTGTCTCACTTTTACATATGATCCTAAGATACTATTAGGATGAGTGGGCAACTACTAATATATGGCCTGAATTATTTTTAAAGCAGATATATATTAGCCTACATATTTCTTATCATTTGTGTCAATGATGTTTCTCTTTTTCCTAGATGACTTCAGTTTATAAACAGTTTTTTTTCCCATGTCCTCAAAGACATACTTTAGCTACTAACCTTTTTCTCATTTAAATGCCACGCTGGGAATTAAACTTGGATAAGACAGTTTAAAAACAATTTAATTATTTAAAGCCTCTGGGAGGAACTTTCGGTTTGAGTTGATTTTGGCGGCCCCTGTGGACAAAGTGCAGGGCCACGTTAAAAAAATATATTAATTTTTATCATTTAGAGATTAAACTCATAAATCTACGAGAATAAAGTCGTAAATTTACAAAAATAAAAATCTCTCCCTGCTTTCTTCCGTCAACTGCTTCACTCACAGTAAATCTTTGCAAAGGAAAACGTAAGCATGCTGTTCATCTACCATGTGGCAGTAGTCAGGCAAAAGGGCATTTAAAAAAGTAGGCTATAAAAATAATAAATGTTATCTATGGCCTTGTTTGCTCTTGTAGGTCATAATTAAACGTCAGTATTAATCTCCTCACGTTACCTTAAAACTCGTAGCCTATATCTTTTTTTAACACATTGATGTTTTCCTCCACATTCAGGCCTCCACCCTCTGCTGGTGTGTTCACAGGTTATTCGGCGTCCAAAGGGTTAAATTAAAAACTCAAGGACAGGAGGCGGAAGAGGTGTGTTTTCTTCACGACACACACACACACACACACATATACACACACACACACACACATACACATACACATATGCTGCTGAAGTTGCCACTAAATGGAGAAAACGCGAACGGCACAGCTGAGCTCAGGAAGGTAAACAAACACATTTGGTTAGAAGAAGGGGGAAAGAAAGAGGCGTACACACATTATCGAGTCTCTGTCTGCGTTTTTAATCTGCGGGAAGCTGAAGTCTGGTCCGCCTCCGAGAGCAAAACTTGAACTCCAGTTCAAAGACGGAAACAGCAACGAGACGTTTTGAAAAGCTCAGACAGATGTAGGCTACACCAAAGCAGAGATAAGAAAGCATCAAACCTTAGCTGAACCTTTTTGGTAAGTGTATTTATCATTACAGCTGTGTAGGCTAAGGTTGCTAAAGAGAAACTTCAAAACAATCACCATTTTGTTCTTTTGTAATACACAAATGTTGATTAATAAATGACCGTGTGTGTGTGTGTGTGTGTGTGTGTGTGTGTGTGTGTGTGTGTGTGTGTGTGTGTGTGTGTGTGTGTGTGTGTGTGTGTGTGTGTGTGTGTGTGTGTGTGTGTGTGTGTGTGTGTGTGTGTGTGTGTGTGTGTGTGTGTGTGTGTGTGTGTGTGTGTGTGTGTGTGTGTGTGTGCAGCCAGCAGTAGCAGGATGGGGAACAGCAGCAGTGACCGGGGGTCCGGTGGGGGTCAGGGAGGGAAGGAGGCTCGACCCAACATCTTGATGGACAGCACAGAGGATGCAGACCTTTTCCAGAGGGAAGATCCAAAGGTACAATAACAAGTTCATAGCAGAAATGTACGTTATCAAACCAGAACCAGATGCTCTTTCAATAATCACCCACAAATCTCACATCCTTGACTGTGCCTTCAATGAGATCATCCTTCTGTTATGCATGTTTTGTACACAAACTATAACTTGCCCAGGATTAACATAAGTGTCATGAGTTTATAGACTGAGTTACATGACTTCTCTGAATCACTGGAACAGTCTGATGAAAGTAGAATTGGGGACACACAGATGCATCCCAACAAAATGGAAAGTTGGCACACGCTCTCCAAGAAAAAAAACAAGCAAAACTGACCTCAAATGAAGACTTCATGTGAATTTAATCTCATACCTTCTAATCTCATGTATCTGTATGGACCAAGCGGCAACCTCCGACCTTGAAAAATTAAGATAATTCAGAAATGCAAAATCCTGCACTTCGTTGAGTGTCTGTTTGAGGCCGGCTCCAGGAACACCAGAAGTCACATACACGCTACAGCCAAAAAAAAAAGCATGGACACACACTGTACAGGGGTTAATTTAAAAATAACAGCTCCGTTTTGATTTTATAAACGATATGTGTTATCCATAGTTAGGCGCGTAGCTGACATGATTGACAGGTGGGCACAATGTAACGGTTTGTCAAGAGTCTTAAACCCCGCCTCAGCTCCAGCTCTCAGCCTGTCGTTAGGTTGACTGAAAGTTAGGCTGAAACAGGATTTCCAGCATGCTGCTGATGAGCATCCAGAACCCCCTGCTGAAACAGATGGCTGACGTCACTCAGGCTTCGTCTACTCATATTTACAGTCTGTGGTATGAACTCTGTTTTAAGTGTCAGGTTTTAATGACACATTTGGTAAATGAGTCTCTTATTGCAGCTTTATGCTAAAGCAACAAGGAGCAACTGTGACTGTAGTGTTGATGCACATGTGAGCTGGAAAGATGCTCTGTCATCTGAAATGTGAGAGCAAGGTTTGAGAAAATCCGATCTGCACAGAGAGAGAACTTTGGTCTTAAAAGGATGATGTGAGTTTTTAGCCTCTTTTGAATTTAAAGAATAATGAAAAAATGTTAAGTCTCAAGTTAGGCAGGTTTCCAAAAGCATTACAGTGAAGTGTACAAAGTAGTCACGTTTATGGGGAATGCACAATTATAATGGAACAAAATATAAAGGCAGCTCGAAGTTCACAGTGATAACCCATCTGAAGGAGGTTTTCATTCTCCACCAAGGCCACCTGGACAGAAGTTATTACATCTGGACACTTTGATGGGCTTTGTAAAATTGTTAACAATGGTATATAAAATGTTTTTAAAGGAAAAAAAAACCCAGGGATGGTTCATTTAATCCCCTGTATGGAAAGATCTGTAGTTAAAGAGCAGTATCGTTGAAACATGGAGTACTGATTCCCTCATGTTAAGACGTGATTACTGATTTGATTTTATCCAACTTCCCTAAAGCTCCAGGAAGTAGAAACAATTTTAAAATTGTCTAAGAAGCTCGCGTATATTGTCCATTTCCGCTTAAACAGAGAAAAATGTCCGGTTTATAGAGTCTGTAAGAAAAAGTACTGCACATAACAAATCACAAGTAGCTGACTCTTCAGCTCGTCATTCATTCAGGAAGTGTGTTGGGTAAAGGAGACAGAGGCTGATGGTGTTCTTCTCATTAAAATGACAACAATACATTAATATCACTCTGTCCAGGCTCCACAGGAAATACAGGAGTTTCTGGCCTGGCAGCAGGACCTGGAAAGCGACAGCAAAAGTCCAACACAGGACAGACCCACAGTGTTCAGGTGGACGGGGGCTGCAAAAGACGTCTTTGTGTCGGGCTCATTTAACAACTGGGCCACCAAGATCCCTCTCAATAAAAGGTGGTGTGGCGTATGCAGAATATCTAAAAACACTGAGTGATCTGAGTGTGTAGATTGAAGTGTCACACATGGGTTTCTCTCCAATGCAGTCAGAAGAACTTTGTTGCGATTGTGGACCTGCCAGAGGGGGAACACCAGTACAAGTACTGTGTAGACGGTCAGTGGACTTTGGATCCTACTGGAGTGAGTGAACGTTTTTTTTTTTTTTTTTAAATGCACCTTTTGAAGAGTTTATCTCCAAACAATATTCTTTCATATTGTTGAAAAAGAGTACTCTTCACTCAGATATGTGTTAATGCTCTCTCTCAGGCAGTGATGACGTCTAAGACTGGAACTGTTAATAACGTCATCAACGTGAAGAGAACTGACTTTGAGGTCTTTGATGCCCTCAGGATCGACTCACAGGAAACTGCAGATATCTCAGGTAGTGACACCTGTATTTATTCATTAACAATAACTATTGTAAGACTGCTTTGTTGTTGTTTAATACGTGATAATATCTGACACAAACACCAGAGGGCATATGAGTAAAAAGAGACTTGTGTTTGTGACAGTTTCTATATTAATGCTATGTAGTAAATAAATGCATTTAAAGTAGTAAAGTTACATTTCAAAGTTAATATAAAACACAGTATCCGGATAATATGAAGAATGAGTTTTGACCTCAAAGTGTTCTTTAGCTCAGTGGTTCTCAACTGGTGGGTCGGGACCCAAAAGTGGGTCGCCTAGCTGTTTTCAGTGGGTTGCGAATGTGTGCCTGGAAGAAAAATGTGGTCAAAAAGTCTGTGAAGCCCTTTTTTAAAACAGGTTTGTTTCATTCAGTTTCTTTGTTCTGTTACGCTTTGTACCATCTGAGGTCCAAATGGCACTCTTTTTTTGTCAAATAAAAAGGATTGATTGAAAAAAATATTACAAATTTGGGTCGCAAATTGTTCATGAAGGAGTAGTTGGTGGGTCCTGAGGCTCGCCCAGTTGAGAACCACTGCTTTAGCTTATACCTTAATAATTAGCAAACCTAAAGTCTTGAACAAATTTGTGTCCTGTGATAATTCCCAGACTTGTCCAGCTCCCCTCCCGGCCCGTACCAACAGGATGCATATGTTACCAAAGCAGAAGACAAGATCAAGAGTCCTCCCATCCTACCTCCACACCTGCTGCAGGTGCTGCTCAACAAGGACACCGGTATCTCTGTAAGTAGTACAGTTGTGAAGCTGGAACACATGACTTAGTGACAGCGTGCAGTTTAATACAGTTCACCCTCACTCTCAATCTTCATCAGTGTGACCCGACGCTGCTTCCAGAGCCCAACCATGTGATGCTCAACCACCTGTACGCACTCTCCATCAAGGTAACACAGCTTTCTATTGCATATCGCTATTTTATTTTTTATTTCACTGAGGAGGAAATTAAGAGTGAACTTGATCTGTGTGTAAGACAAAACATTTCAGACAACACTAAATGGATTTTAAACAAACTATCAGAAATGTTCAAACCATTGTTAGGCATGAAGAGGAATAAATAAGTGCTCGATGGCTCTGTGTTTTTAGATGCTTATGATACATGCTGAAACTAACACTGATGCCTATACGTGAGTTACATAAGCAAACAAGACCATCAGCAACAAGATGGATTATTTCTATTTAGAAATTCTTAATGTCCAAAACAGCTGCTGGGTGTATGTGTCACACAAAGAGGTAAACAGCAGACTTAGAAACAGCTGTTTTTTCTTCACTTTTCCATAACAATGATTTCAAACTTACTGATGCATTTGACTGTTAAAAAAAAGCAGGGGGAGATTTTCGCTAGAATTCAAGGTCAGAGTTAAAAAAGCCCATCCCACACATGTGAAGGACAGAATCAGCAAAGAGATGAGTTGTATGTTCTGTCCACAGGGGGCGCCAAAATCACCACAAACCCAAAGTTTTTCACAGGAGCTTTTAACAATAAACTGTAGTGATTTTAGTCTTCATCCTCTTGTATATATCGATGACTTTTCCCCTAATTTTCAGTTGTACAATTCGTTTCTTCTCATTTTAATCAATATCCAAAATGCTGTAGTTTTTTTGGACAGTAAACGACAAATGCTTTACACATTTTTCAAATGAGATCTTGAAAACTCGATCTGTAAACTTTGTTAATCCTCTCCGTGCTCTTGTCTTTCAGGACGGGGTGATGGTTCTCAGTGCAACACACAGATACAAAAAGAAGTACGTCACTACTCTTCTGTACAAGCCAATATGATCCACACAGCAGTGACCCAGACTATTATTTTAATTATTCATCTGTTGTTGTACACAGCTGCTACTTTGATTGTTTCTGCTTTGTATAATACTGTAATCTCCCTTTTTTTTTTTTTCAAACTTGGCTCGTATTTTAGTGAGTTGCCTCATAATGTTTGTTTCTGTAGGATCCATCCATAACTCAAGTCTGAAGCTTCAGTTCTTATGATCTGTCTAAAACTCTAAAGTAACATGCCAGTAATCTTTTCATTCCTACCTCTTTGAACCTGCACGTGTCAATAGACTTTTAGTTGATAAAGAGACCAAACACACGGTGCACCTCTAAAAAAGTAAACCAGCCTTTAAAGACACTTTGTACTAAGCCTAAGTGTGGCTTTGCATGTTGAAGTGACCTGCAGTTACGTTTGTAAGAAGCCAAAGCACCAAGCGAGGCTTCCCACGTTAAAGTGAGCTGGAGTTTTAAAGAGACAGCTAGTGGAAAAATATGAAGGTGTAGTGGTGAGACAAACACAGCTGCAACCTCTCCTACACCAGCTTTGCATATGTGAGCAAACAGATACAAGGACACAGAGAAACACAATCAATGAGGGTCTCACTCTGTCTGTTTTATTTCCAGTCATGCCTTTTATTTTTTACCAAATCAAACTTCTTCTTAATCAAATGTTGTTAAAACATTATGAAGAAATAAAAGTTTTAAAGATACATGTTAGAAACCCAACATTGTCTCTTGTGATTTTTTTAATTTTTTTTTAGTGTAACTCAGTCGAGGCATTGGACTTTGGGATCCACGTTCTTGTTTTCAGGGTTGTATGTGGTCCGGGCGAAGCAGTGAGCAGCCACCCGGTCGCACTCACACACAGCAGCCTGGCACTTATTGTTGGTCGCTGCAGACACAGAGAGGAAATGAACATAGAGCTGCAGCATACTTACACTTGATACTATTATCATCAGGTACACTAAATGGCAGTGTGTCAGTGCTCGGAAATACTGTGAGAGGACTTTTCTGTGAGTCAGGATCTCCAAACTGGGGATTAAACCTCTATCCCCTGCTGTGTAAGACCTATATATAGCTGTTTAACTACCCTGTCCTACACATAGGGTCACAAAAGAAGCTTTCTTTAATGTTTGTGTTGAGGCAGTGTTGGATTTATTACCCAGGTTTTCTTAACATTGTCCAAATCTGGATTTAAATAAAGCATTTTATCTAATTCTCACCACAGCTTGACAGATTTGTAAATTCTGCATGAATAAGTTTCAATCATGTAAGTCTTACCAGAGCATGTCACTTGCTGATTTGAACAGGTGAAATCATAAACGATGACATAGGGAAGGTCAACAAGAGCCGTGCATCCAGGAGCCTTCCTGCTTGTTTGATAGCACTTATCGTGAACTCTGCAGCACCTACAGGAAATAAAGGTGCATGTCTGACATGGTCGGAAGTTTCTCTTAAAATTTTTTTTTTTTTTTTAAATGTGTGCTTCCTACTCGTCCAGTTCATCCAGAGGAGTTCCCGACCCCCCGAGACCACACCAACAGCCGTAGTTATTGTACTTTAGGGCGCTTACGTCCGGCTGAGCACACTGGATCATGTTCCCAAACTGCCATAAGGCCCTGGGCAGCAGAGCACCACTGGCCACATAAGCTGGAGAGGCAGACAAATACAAACATGAACAAATCAGGAATGAAACAAAGAAATACATAAAACTGACCGACTGTGGCAGATTAAAGAAGATATAAAAGAGTTAGAAGGATAGTTTCACAAACAGCTTGTACTCAGAGGACATATATTCGCTGTCAGTGTTAAACATAGAAGTGATATATGGTTACATACTGAGTATTTTTTACTCTTACCAGTGAGAAGCAGCAGGGACAGACGACCTGTGAGATTCATGGCTCCAGTCAGAAGAGCAGAAACTGAACTCATGCAGTTCTTATAGTAGGTGACAGAACAGCAGAGATAAGATGAAGCCAGAGGGTGGCAGCTTAAATGAATGGGTTCTGCCTGAAGGTCTTGTTTTCTTCAACATGTATTAAAGACTTTCAGCTTTAAGGGTGAGAACTTGATGAAATACAACTGCTAAAAAAAATCCCTTGAAAGCACCAGGACAAGACATTTTAAGATATAAATTATTTGTGTAAAAAAGGCTTACATTTTGAATTTAGTTGACATTTTCTTCAACTTCACCTTAAATAAAAAAAACAAAGCAACACATACATGACACTCCATATCACCTGCCTAATAACACAAGACATGATGCATTCATGGACCAATGAAAGAAGTATATCTTACGGTATTGATCACTGCATCGTATCCAATCACTCGTAATGTATCTTGTCCTTTCATATCTATTATGACGTATTGTATCAAATAGTATCATTAATGTATTTGTCAAGTAAATGAATAGATCAATAAATCAATTAAATTTGATTATTTCAAAGAAGTAAAAGATAAGAAATAACAAAATGTAAACATTTGAATCAAAACCAAAAGGAAGATTAAATTGACAGCGTAAACATTTCGATTAATTTTGTTATGTTATGTTATTAAACTGTAGTGTTTGCTAAAGTTGGCAAATAAATGGGTAGTAATATCCTACTGCACTTTATCGTATCGTGTCCTATGATACAGTGCAGTATGTTTTTTACCGTACCATCACCGTCATATCATATCGCATCGTATCCTAAATACTGTGTCATATCCTACAGCACCACCACATCTTATTGTATCCCATTGTATCGTCACGGTTTCCTGACAAGATTGTCAAATCCTGGTCAATTTAGGCCGGAATCTCCGTCTAAAACCTGTATGAATAAGTCATATATTTACTTGATCCTTTTTTTAAATAAATACTGTTGAAGGTTTTGAAAACTGTTAGTTGTAGTTCAAGTTGAAATTCTACATCTTCCATCCGTCAGTGGCTGAAGCTTTCCTCTTTTTTCTGTTTCAACACTGTGAAAATGACAATGTGGTCTCAGTCAAACCTCATATTTGTGTCTGATGGCCTTGACTCATTCACTAAGGGTAGGCAGAATATACGTGTGTGTGTGTGTGTGTGTATTTCATAATTAACAGACAGTATATCAAATTAAAATGTACCTAACAAACACTTTCTAATCTGTTGGTGTGTTCCTCTGTATTTACTTCTGTTAACTTTTAAACACACAGCTGTGTCAATAACCGGCACTTCCCTGAGTTCCCATGATGTAACCATCACATTACTCCGCCTGGTTCTTTTAAGTTTTTACAAAATAAAACTACATATATCTCACAACGATAACAATACTGACATAAATATTTACAGGATTTTGGTTTTTGAGTTGTGTTTATGTGTTTATGTGTTCAGAATATTTGTTTGTATAGGGTTGCACACATCTACATATATGTAATTCATGCTCATACACACATGTTGCATAAGTTGACCTAAAGAGGAAGAGATAGCATGACTTCTGGCAATTGGCCAAAAAGGGTCACCTGTCAAGGTCAGTGGTCAATAAAAACCTTTGAGATTTACGTTCAAAATCAACACCTGCACGATGCGTCTGATACTCTCCTTCCTCATCCTCTTCATCAGCCTCCCAGCACGTGAGTTCTCTGAATATTTCGTCCCCTCTTCTGACTGAAAAGAAAACGTTTTGAAGATAACTACGGGTTTTTGTCTCTCAGTGCTGGGTTTCCGAGCTCTGTGGCAGTTCAGGTCCATGATCCTCTGCACTGTACCCGACAGCTGGCCCATTCTGAACTATGCTGACTATGGATGCTACTGTGGGCTGGGCGGCTCAGGCACACCTGTAGATGAACTTGACAGGTAACACTAATGAAAGTGTTTTTATTCATGGGGTCATTGGTGCGACTCTGTTTCTTGTCTCGCACGACCCCAACTTAACAAATTAAAAAGTCAATCAACAACTTTAGAATTTAAAAACATGTTGTTTACCATCTTAAAGTAAAGCAGCTCAGTGTGTCAAAGATTGTGACAAACAGTTTGTACCTTTGAGACACCAAGTCATTTAAGGTGAAGTAGATTTAGTGTGAGTCTTTCAAACGTTTACTGAGATATATTCTACAGAAAAAAAAGTAATTCTGGAGCCGCTCTTCTCTTCCTCTTTTTGTAATTTGGAGAAATTGCCCCTTATTATTCCAAGAATGTTTAATCAACTTCTGTCCTGTTCATTGTTAATATTTGCTGGTTTTCTCTATCTACTATGATTAGAAAAATAAATATCCTGACATTTTATAGACTTAATGATTAATTTAAAAAAAGAAGTTAAACAAGACCAATCCACCAATTCCACAAATGTATAAATAATATGAATGCAGGAGACACCCCATGTTTGGGGGCTTTAGTCCTCAAAGCAGTGGCCGGTTTTGAGTCTGACCTGCGGGTGTCATTCCCCACTCTCTCTCTCTCTCTCTCTCTCTCTCTCTCTCTTTCTCTCTCCCCGATTTCCAACTTAATTCATTGTCCTGTCACAAATATGGAGACATAAAAAAGCCCAAAAATAAAACCTTAAACAATGTGAATTGAAATGAGCCTCAGCCTCTGGATATTTCATCTCCAAAATCTTCAAATTTCCAAAATCAATCTTTTTTTCTCAGAATGTCATCAAAATGATGTTTTTGTCTTTGTCTTGATAGGCGTAGTCGCTGTGTTGACCTATAATGACCCTGTGTGTGTGTGTGTGTGTGTGTGTTGTAGATGCTGTTATATCCATGACAAGTGTTTCAGTGAGGCCATGCAGCTAGATGAGTGCTGGCCCATCTTAGACAACCCGTACACTGAATCATACAGCTACAGGTGTGACAAGGAGAGCAAGACCGTCTCCTGTCTAAGTGAGTGTTCAAGAAACGCCACTTTGAGCCATTACCAGTCATGATTTCACTTTCAACAAAACATTAGGAAAAAGCTCTTCTGACATTTTGTACAACACAGCACTCTACAAGTTCAGTTTTATATGTTCTACTTTTCCCTCGTCTCTACTACAACCCATCTACATCTCTCTCTCTGTTTCCATCCTTTAGATGACAACGATCCCTGTGAGCGCTTCATCTGTGAGTGCGACAGACATGCAGCCATGTGCTTCGCCAAGGCAGGTTATAATGAAGACAACACCAATCTGCCCAGTAGCCGCTGCAAATAAACCGAGGGGAGCATGAAGAAGAGGGAACATCTTGTAGAAAAACAACTTGAGGGCACCATTGTAGTCATAGTTAGGTTTTATTTTCCAGCAAGAGCCTTAAACAAATTTCATGAATTCAGCTTTTACTTAAAGTTATACACTGATATCAAATATATTATTTCCGTCTGTCTAAATTTGACCTATTTTTCAGAACACGTCAGGTTTTGATCATGAGTCGCTGCAGCAGCTCTGATGGCTGTCTCTCATGCGTTACTCTCACAGATGTATCTGTACGACAGGCTACAGTCTGCATCATTCCACAGTTTGCGTTTGCGTGTCACGGAGGAGTGAAGCTGGCCGCAGTCCTCTCCGTTCTCTCTGAAGTCCCAATTGTCGGGCTGACCTGCATCCCAGAAGCTAAACACACAAAAGAAGGAGGGGTGATTTGTCAGGGTTACCATTCATTTGTGCTTTGAAGTTTCTCTTACGTTTGGGTTGTACTGAAGTCCGTTCCATCCGCCCAGGTCCAGTGGTCCTCTTCTCTTTCCACGAGTCCAATCCAATAGCTGTGCCGGATTTCAACTATTTGTGAAATGTGGTCCTTGGAAAAAAAAGCAGATTCATTTATTTTGAAGCCTTTGTTGGTCCTTGTAAATCTCTATGCATGCTACTTATGATAAATCTAACACATCGTTATATTGGAGCCTGAAGGACAACTCAAGTTTAAAATAAGGAATCAAACTTTAAGCTCACCAGTTCCTCCACGTTATTCACGACCACCAGGTGTCCGCCGTGTGTTCGGCACTGCTCCTCTGCTTTGCTCCAGGTCAGAGCCGTGGTGGACAGCAGGTAGCAGCTTCTCTGAAAAGACGACCATCCCTCCCTACATGATCCTGATTCAGTGACGATTAGGAGAAGTTGAATGACTCTGTCAGAGGGAAGCACAATCTCTGATTTCTGCTTGTACTTTCATTTGAAAGTTTCCTGTGTTCACCTTTCACTGCGACAAGTTTCTCCAAGGGGACGTCCTGCACTGCTGCCGCTGCTTGACCTTCATTTTTTTGACACCACAAAATAAAGACAAAGTTGAATAAATCACATCAAATGTACGACTGCTTCATTACATCCAGACTCAAAGAACACTCTCTGACCCGAATAAGCTGATGAAGTGGCTCCTGCGTTGCTGATTCTCTCGAGTTGATGTTTGACATCAGTGATTTCCTTGTTCAACTGGGAGACTTAAAGATAAGAAAATGATTACTTTTTGATATACGAAAACTGTATTAATGGATAAACCTCACTAGGAGGTTTACAATCATACATTTGATCCCGGTGACCATCAGCAGAATCAACAGCAGCAGCAGCAGGACTCCATACAGGAAATAAGCCACTACTCTCCTCACACCTGTAATTAAAACAAGCTTTTTTCATGTTTCAGAGAGACATCCAAACTAATTTAAAGAAGTGAAATCATGTATACACGTCTTATACCTTTTGGTGTTGCCACTCCGAGCTCTCTCTCATAGACAGAGCTGCTAACAGGCGACTGAAACTGTCGGTATGATTCCATCATTGAAGGAGACTAGATTCTTTTGGACAAGACATTTTTTTAGAGTGAATTATATTTCTGTCATTTGCATTTTAAAACAAATGTCTGCTTATAGTTTATCATCAAAGTGTTCAGGCTAGTGTTCAGCATGTGTAAGGACAAATAAGAGGATTCTCCATGTTTGTTTCAGGCTTAATATGTGAACTATTAACAGCTCAAGTGATAAAAAGGAAACCCTGATCTGATATCTTGTATAATACTCATATTTTTACAAAGATATGCAGGTTTAATTAAATCATTTTCACATTCACATATCTACACTTTTCTATAAATGTTTTAGTTAACGATCACATATCTAGAACAGAAATGTGCAGCTTACAAAGTGAACATTTATCACGTACCTTCATCAACCAGTTTCTCTCTGAATGTTGGACTCTGACCATGTTACCACAGAAAGTCCTCCCCTTTAAAGAGAAACACTTGTTTTTAAATGTGGCCTTTTGTTCTGAAATTATCTATCATGATCTACTGTAAGCTCGAATTTAAATCTTTCAGATGGTAATGTGAGGACAATACTGAGGGAAGAATCTAGAAGAGTTTGGAGGATTTAACTGTCATGGTTCACTCTTGTTTATTTTGTTAATTCGTTGTGGTGTATAGATGTTACATAGATGTCCCAGTGTCAGTCTTCCTGCTAATTCCTTGTGTCTCCCAGTGTTTTAAACCTTTGTTGGATTTTTCAATATGGACATTTTTAAAGTAAGCTTCTTTTTTTTTTTGCCTTTTGCCTTTTTTGTATTTACAAACTTGAAGGTGTTATTCAGTTATTTTATGAATGCCTACATATTCTCATATTTTGGTTCAAGTAAAGGAAAAGGATATCATCTTTTTTATACCCCTATGTATATAGTTTTACATCGATGTATAGTTTGTGTGTCTTGTGTCTGCCTGTAGTTCTCGGTCTCAGCGCTTGGTGGCACAGTAGAGTGTCTCCACGTGACCTTTCTGTATAAATCACTTCCGGTCGCTGCGGCTCTCAGAAAGGAAAATGGCGGCTCTCGGACGGCTCTCTCAGGCTTTGCTGAGGTCTTCTCTGACCCAGAGCAAGCGTCAGCTTTCTGCTGCTGCTGCCCACGGGCACGGCGAGCAGGCAGGTAATAAAACATTCAAAATAATTCACATATTTGGTTTAATATCGCTAATGTTTCCCACAGTGTGTAATGTTTGGACTGTGACCTTGTTGAGCTCCTTTAGCTGTGTTAGCATTAGCTCAACATCCTTGAGCCAAAAACATGAGCTTCTTAACGTGACGACTTTGTCAATAAAACATATTACAGCAGGAACATGGTTAAACATTCACTCGTGTTGAGTTCAACTTTAATCTGTCGTTAAGCAACAACGAGACAGTCAGCTCAGAGTCACTTCTTAGTACAGTAAAACTCATGAATAACTAATAATAATAAGTTTTTAAGAGTCCAGTATCACATTAAAGCATATATAAGGGCCAGTAAAGATGCATGGATGTGTGACTTATAACACGGTTACACATTTTACAGATCAGTAGGTTTTCATTCCTTCATCATATTAGTAATAGTAATAGACTAATAAGAACACAGGAGACAATAACTAGTGGCTGGTTGTTAGACCACCTTAAATGTTGATGATATTACTTAATGTCTGATTATTAGAAGCGAGTGAGACTTTCATATCGCTTAAAGGTCATAAAGCTTTTGGTTGAATGTCTATCTAGCTGACGGAGTGCTGTATTATGTGTTGAATATTACATTTTAAGACACTGTAACATTACTTGTGAGGTTCAAACACCTGGCCTGAATTTTATTATTATTATTTTTTTAATTTAACCTTTATTTTACCAGGCAAGAATTGCTTGAGATCAAATGACCTCTTTTTTTGAGCAAGGCCTGGACATAATGGCAGCAGTATAAAGCAAAATATAAGACAAACCTAAAAAGAAAGCACAGACATGAGAAAAAGAGACAAATACAGTCCAGAAGAGAAGAGGAGGAGGATGAGATCATAAAAGATCACTGAGCAGCACAGTACCTTCAATTAAAGCTCCCCAATAATATTTAATTTGATACAAATGATTATATAACCTCATTATGACCTGTTGTATACAAATATGGCACCTTTTCTTTTTTAATGTTATTGAAAGACAACATTGCACATGCATCACACATGTACAGTATTTGTCCTTTGCAGATTAAAAAGAGCACATACTGCAGTAACTGTCTGATTAGAGGCTAAATCTTTGCGACCGGTGTGATGAGGACTGTGGTGTTCACCCACTCCACTAGCAAAGCCAAACCAGCGCCCCGCGATTGCTCCCTCTCTTTCTTGTGGCAGCTCTCGTCCAAAAGTAAAACTTAAGATTGGAGTTTGTTTTAAGCTTTGATACTCTTAAACACTATTGTTCATTAAAATAACTTGCATTGTATAGTTTTAAATCATGTGGTGTGATGAGGACTGTGGTGTTCACACATAGGACACCCGCTCCACTAGCAAAGCCAAACCAGCGCCCCGCGATTGCTCCCTCTCTTTCTTGTGGCAGCTCTCGTCCAAAAGTAAAACTTAATATTGGAGTTTGTTTTAAGCTTTGATACTCTTAAACACTATTGTTCATTAAAATAACTTGCATTGTATAGTTTTAAATCATGTGGTATTGAAATGCAAAAATGTTGACAACTGTGCCGTGGGGAGTAGCAGAAGGGCTCCTTATGTATATTTGTGCTGTGTAACATTTTCTTAAGTAAAACTAGTTGAGGGTCAATTGGAAACAACTTATAGAAAGAGAGTTTCCCGTGTCCCATCTCCGAGAACACCCATCACTTAGAGTTTCATTGTGGTCTGATCCCATTACGGCTTTGTTCAAAGTCTAATGATCATGTCTCTTTTCCAGCCAGGACATGGAAGATCCTCTCCTTCGTGGTGGCCCTGCCTGGTGTCGCTGTGTGCATGTTGAACATGTACTTGAAAGAGCAAAGTCACACCCATGAACAGCCGGACTTTGTCCCTTACGCCCACCTTCGCATTCGCTCCAAGGTCTGACATTTTGAAACCGTTCATGTTCTGAACTGACTGTTTTTAGTAATGTTATTATCAACATTGTGATCTCATCATGTGTTGCCTTATTTTCTCAATCTCTTCACAGCGTTTCCCTTGGGGAGATGGCAACCACAGCCTTTTCCACAACTCACATCTGAACGCCCTTCCTGATGGCTATGAGGGTCATGATGAATAAATCCCTCCCTCCAGACCTCATAACTGGTACAAGGACCAGTCCTCCCCTCAGCTTCTGTTACCGGACCACACTCCCAATCACAGTTTACGCTTTGTTTTCTTTTTTGGTTTACCTCTGTGCTTCCTACATGGGGCACCTGAACAAACCGTTCCGTTACTTTGGACCATTAAACAAAATGTCTGCTGAGACTGAATTAACATAAATAAAGTAACTATTATTACCTCGAAACATGTCCTGTGTGCTTTGATTTTATACACAGTATACTTATGTTTATACGTTTGCGTTCCAGGTTTTTCACCTGCAAATTAAGGTATTTATCACAGGAATAAATACAAATATAGAAATGATGAGTTCTAAGTATCTGCTTTAATCACCGACTCTTACTGTCACAGCTGAAGCAAAAGTAATGTGTAATCTTTAGACTAAAACAAGCTTTGTATGCTGTGGAAAAAAACACGCAACAGTGTGATAATTAGATCCCAAAGTTGAAGCATTCTAGGTTTCTATGTACTTTTGTTGCTCTTTATAGGCCTTGAAGTGCTTTGGGGTGATTTCACTTATCCCTCATTAAGCCTCTTTTCAGAGAGGTCTAAGAGGTCTGTTTCGTCCTGCTCTTTGTTTTTCACACAGGGGTGGGAGAAACGTCTCCCAAACAATGAAGAAATGAATGAAACCTTTATTGCCTCTAGGGGAATTTGCCTTGAACCGAGAGCAGTATGTGGACGTCCAATAACTCACTTAATATAAATGAGGTGTTTCACTGTGTATTAATGTAAAAGGTGGAGTGTGAGGAATAGGTGAAATATGACACTGAAATCAGGGGAACTGATTCTGACTGAGTGACCCTTGATGTTTACTCCTCACTGGGTGTAATGTTCTTCATGAAGCCCTTTGCTGATCATAATACACAATTAGTCATCTAACCAGAATAGACAGTTTTATTAACCAATAGGCTGTCTCTGTACATTTGAATTGTCACAAATGACGATTTACATATTTACATATTATGATTTCATTATCAGGTATTCCACTGGATTAAGTCATCTTTGCATCTCCTCGAAGTGTCCAATGTGGAACAATAGATAATATGATCCGACATGACGCGCTAAACCTGTCACGTGACGCGCTCTTTGTTCCCGGCTCCACCTCTGTCACGTGAACGCGCTTTAAGCCGAATTAGAAAAGCCTGGGTTAACAAAGCGCGGTGGAAAAACTGCTTAATTTCGCCGCTTTTCTCTCCCCCGTTTCCATCGCCTGGACAGTAGGTGATATGATGCTTCGTGCAGTAACTAACAGTCGCATCGATTAAGCTCGGAATCATTGCGTCTCACGATCGTAGGTTTCGATTTGATTAGTAAATCTAGCATTGAAACATCTCGGATATCTGCGCGACCCCGCTTCCACACACAGGGGTGACCAATCGCACACCGAAACCCGGATCAGAATCCATGAACGCGGACAGAGGTGAGTTGTATGTCCACAAACTGTATTACTATTTAATAATAAGACTTTTAAAATTTTTCATTAATAGCTACTTCATTCTCCTGTGTTTTTTTATTTTTATAGATTACCTCATGATGAAAAAAAATGAAAGGGCACATTTTTAGATTATTAAAAGTCATTTTTAACCCAAGTGTTTCTAATATCTGGTATAAAATGTGCATACAATGTCACCATACCTGATTAAAAACTTCTGTATTGTTACTGTTATTATTTTTTTTCTCCAGGGTTTCGGACAGCGGCTACAAAAGGACATGGCAGCAAGTGAAAGTCAAACATAAAAATATAGTCCAAACAGGTAGTCATTTCTTTCTTCAACTTCCTCATTGTTAAAAAAAAAGTCTGGCAGGATCATCATGTTTACTCTTACATTTGTATTAATGCAGCAAAAAGAAGAAGGTTGGAGGTCATGAGGAATGAGTCAGGGTCAGCCACCCCGTCACTGAACTCTGCAGAGGAGGATGTGCTGCAGCACAAAGACAACAGGCTGAGGTTGGAGGTCCTCCCTGGAGGGGCCTGTATCGAGCCACTGACAGAATCTGAAAGCTCTCTAATGAGTGGTACGTTTATTAACCTCATTTTCATTTTCTTTTATGATTAACCTCAGATTTCAACCCCTTTTTAAATAATCTCACATTTTAACTCAATGTTGGTTTCCCTCTGTACAATCTCAGGCCATCCTGTCCTCCTGCTGCCTATAACAAAGACTGAACCAGAGAGCCTGAGCAGCGATGAGACAGACGTCAGCGACGGTCACTTTGAAGGGGTAGGTGCCATTAAACATGTCTTATGAGATTTTTGTATTTTTGAGGACTGCCATACAGATTTTGTTACTGTTTGTAGGATGTGCAGAACAGCAGCTTCCAGGAGAGGGCCAACATAGCATGTGCTGCAACCAGCGACAGAAGTGCAGAGGTGAGGCTGTGGATGTTTGTTTAAGAGAGAGAATTAAAGTCAAACAACTTCATGAATCCCTCTAGGGGCATTTGGTTTGGAGCAGCTTGAACATCAAATATATAAATGAAAACAATGACATACAGACAACAAATTAGACAGATAAGAGATGCCAAGAATAAGAAAACAGTGAGCTCATGTGTTTGATTTCTTTTGCAGAGGCAGAAAGAAGACATACGGGCTCTTTACTGCAGCTACCTCAGAAAGGAGATGGAGAACCGAGACCAACAGATGGCACTCAGAGCTCTTAAAATGAAGAAGCTGGAGAAAGAAATCTTACTACTAGACAAACAGCTGATGTGACTTATCAAAGAAAATCACGTTTTTTATACACTGTTGTAATATGTTCAAATAATTCATGATTGATTTGATATGAATCAATCAATGAATTAACCTTTTATTATACTGCAGAGATAATAGAAGAGCGACACCCGTGTTCCATGCCTGAGTCACTCACAACAACATTTTAAAGATGGAAAAAGAGGCGACTGTGGCTCAGAGGAAGAGCGGGCTGTCCTCTAGAAGGTAGGTTGGCGGTTTGATCCCCAGCTCCTGCAGTCCTCATGTGATATTGTGCGAAACACTGAACCCTGAATTGCCTCTTGAGTCATAGTGAATGTGTGACATTGTTATTTGATGGGCTGCCTGGTGCTTTGCATATATCAGCCCATCTGTGTGTGAATGTATGTGTGGAGCAAATGTACTCGCTTTGATTTTAAGAACCACTTACAGTATATGTAGAAAGTAGAGAACGCGCTGTATCACAGACAGATAAATAAAAGGCCAGTCCACTTTTCCAAACAGGCAACAGATTAATGAAGAGCATTAAATGTGTTAATTGAAATATAGGTTTCTCAGAAAAAAACGCCTTAAAACTTGTTTAATAGGTTTAATTATTTACTATAGTATCTAGTACAAATTAAATGTAATACCAAAAAGGTACAGTCTTTTTATCCACACTTTCGCCCCACGGTCTTCCTCGAAGTGCATATTTGCTGGAAGGGCTCTTAGTGGTGTAAGTTCGAAGGGACTGTATCTGTGAAAGCAGAACTGGGACAGGTCTGTAAGAGTCACTTCTGTTTGGGTTCAGCAGAGGAAACCTGCTGCTGGCTGTCGTGTTGTTCACACTATAGCTGCAATAATTAATAAGAAATGTACACTAGAGTATTAGGATAGGATAGGATAATACTTTATTGATCCCCAGAGGGGGAAATTCGGGCGTTGCAGCAGCACAGACAAGAAAGCTCAAAATACACATTAAACAGAATAGATAAGATAAAAACGGGGGGTATATACAAGTACAATGAATGATGAAGTTAACTATGCAGGGAATTGAGACAGTATTTGCAGAGAATGACAAGATAAAGTGACATCAGGCCGTATCAGGAGAATTCTGAATCGCAGGAGAAGAATGCTTAATAATATTGAGCATTCTTCTCCTGGTATATTAAGTTAATATACCTGTTTCTACAGCTAATGTGTGCCTCTGATAAGAGCTGCAGCGTGTCACTCTTTGTCACTTTGCGGTTAATGTTATTCCAATTGAAACTGTTTTATGGCCAGGTTAAATTGAGATATAACCTTTAACTGAAAAAGAAGTTTCTTCTCCATTGTCTCTCTTCTCTGTCAGAGAGCAACAGTTGTTGTGCTTCCCCATTGGTTAGCTGTCTAAAACTTCATGACACTACAGGGATTCTGGGTAAAAGCCTTAAGCTGATGCACACTTGCAGAAGGGGTGCATAAAGGGTGCAACACTAGAGAATTGGGACGCCCTACGGTCTTGCACCCCTTAGTGAGTATGCGTGATATGGGGGCAAAAGGGGCAAAGTGTGGATATTGGGACAGTGTATATTTTTGCCAGGAGTCAGAAGAACTATTAGTGAAACAGAATTCAGACTCATGGTTTGTCCTGTAGACTCAAATGTTGCCTTCAGAACAGCAGGTTGTTTATTATGGGGGGAGTTGGGATCTATCTGGTTTGCAATTTTTCTGTAAACCTATTTGTCGCTGACACAGTTTTGCATGTTGCGTCCGTAGATATGCAACAGCACACACACTCCACAGTGTTATCCTCAGGCTGCGACAGTATTGTTATCTTCACTTGAGCTCATTACAGTCACAGAATTGTCCGGGTCAAAAAAAAAAAAAGCCTCAAAGCGGGCACGAGGCCCACTGAGGGTTCAGGAGGGTGCTGTAAAGGAGCTCCTAAAGGATTCTTCATCACATGAATGATTTAGTGAATCTGCACACTTTGGACCGGGTTTGCCTGTTCTGTAGCCCACTGGATTGATATGAATGAAACAATTGATGTTTTTAATGTAAAGGTCAATTTGATCCGTCAGCTGAGTCATGTCGGGACTATTGCTCTTTTATACATATTCCCCAAATTAAAGCAGCAAATGAGCAGACATATTGGAACAATGAGCGTTATTATGTTTCACATTTTGTTGCGAATATCTCCGGTCATTGACAGGATGAGTAGAAACATCAGCAGACATGTATTATCTTCCCTCTGGATGTTGTGCTCGGCCTGTCCTGCTGTGTTTAGCTTCTTTTAGAGGTTTTTATCCATGGAGGCTGGGCTGCAGCACATCGCCTGTATGAGGCCTTCACGTGCTCAGCTGCTGTTTCACTGTCAATTGAAGATCAGACACTTTGTAAACATTTTTAAAAAATGTTGTATTAAGATCTGAAAAACAGAACATAAGTAAAAAGTTTAAACTGACACCAAGACTCACGACTCTTTGCACATGACATGACAGTCGTGTTTATAA